GAAGAAGAGCAAGGTGGATGAGGCTCTGTACTTCAAGAGTGATGCTGAGGGGGAGATGTGCTGGCTGCTGGTGTATGTGGATGACCTGCTTGCTGCCAGCCGCAGTCAGAGCTTGCTAGGGGAGCTGCGTGACCTGCTGCAGAGAGCCTTTCAGCTGCGGGAGATTAGCCCTGTGGAGAAATATCTGGGGTTGCAGCTGATTCGGGACAGGCCTACGAGGAGGCTGTGGCTGCACCAGGGGGCCTATGTGGACAAGGTCCATAGGCGCTTCTTTGACGGGGAGCAGCCGCTGCGAGTGCCTCGCACCCCTCTTTCCTCTGAACCTTTCAGTGTGCAGACCTTCGAGGATGTGGGATGGCAGTCTCGCCAGGAGGAGGAGTACAGGCAGAAGGTGGGATCCTTGCAGTTCGCGGCCTGTACCACCCGTCCCGACATCTCGTTCGCCTGCAGCAAGCTGGGGTCGGGCTAGACTGTGCGGAGTGATCAGCACTGGAAGGAGTTGGACCGGTGCTTGGCGTACTTGGTGGGGAGCAGGGATGTGGCGCTGGAGTTTGGTGGGGGGCCGGAGTCCTTGGAGCTAGTGGGCTACGCCGATGCTGATGATGCGGGAGACAAGCAGAACAGGACCAGCACTGGTGGCTACATCTTCGTGCTCGGGGGTGCTGCTGTCTCTTGGGCGAGCCAGAGGATTCGTTGCGCCACCCTCTCCTCCACTGAGTCTGAGTATGTTGCTGCTGTGGAGGCTGGGAAGGAGGCGCGCAGGCTGCGCTTCCTGCTGGCAGAGTTTCAACTGCTGAAGAGTGAGGAGCTCACTACTCTCTTTGTGGACAACTCCTCTGCCATTTCAGTGGCAGGTGGCATCGGGCTCAAAGGGAGCCTCAAGCACATGGAGCGTCGTCACATGTGGCTGCAGCACATGGTCAAGCGCAGGAAGCTGCAGCTGCAGTACATCCCTACGAGCGAGCAGCCTGCTGACTACCTCACGAAGGCATTGCATTTCCCCGCCTTCAGTCGTTGCTTCGAGGCTGTGGGGCAGGTGAGGCTCTCGAGCGAGGGGAGTGAGACCTAGACACTCCATGATGTGGATGGTGCCATGGCCTATCCATGGCTGGTGCGGTGCGTGTTAGCACTTTGAGAGTGCTTCGTTTGTGTGTGTTTCCCTTTGTTTTGGCGTGTATGCGTGTATGCATGCCCTGTGATTATAAAGGGCCTTGCTGTAGTATGGCAGGGGAGTGTTAGAGGGCCCTACGACAGCAAGGGCCCTCGACGACCGTTTGACTTGGCAGGTCGACTATGAAAGACCAAGATGAGCAGTCCAGCACCGACCCTATGATTTGGCGATGGTTGCGTAGTGACGCGATGTGACAACGGCAGCACTAAACAGTCATTGCTGGGGTGGTGTTAGTCTAGGGAAATCGTGGGCATGCTTCTTGGGTGGTCTTGGTGGTTGTGGGTGATTCTCTGTGAGTCTCGCCATTTCTAGTTGAGCTGGGAGAATTGGCGAGCTCGGCATTGACTTCCCTGCTGAGTTGGGTTGGGAAGTTGACGAGGCGCGTTCGCTCACCCACACACCACTTTCGTGGGGTTGGGTTACTGCGCAGTGCCACGCCAACTTTGTGAAACCTTCCCGTAGCCTATATCTAGTTGTGTGTTTGTTTTTGTATTCATAGTTGATATTGCAATTCTACTTGGCCCAAAAGCTACTTCAATCCTCACTAAGTCCTTGGAGGCAAACTCTACCGAAACTCTACCAAGTTGTTGGCGCAACATCATTCTCATAGCAGAAACTCTCTCGTTATCGCTACGCTCTCTAATATATTCCTTCAGAGAAGAGAGGCCGATATGAGAAAGGAGAGCGCGCAGAGAAGAGGGGAGAGAGAACAGGAAGGAGGGAACAGTGAGAATGGCACGAAAATCTAACTAAGCTACGGCAAGGGTCTGACCATAAGTAAAGAAATTGCAGCAATGAGAGAGCAGCGGACTGACCGGGCGATGAGGGCAAGGGCGAGCAGCAGGAAGCCGGCAGGAAATGCGCGCATTGTCCTCATTATGCTAACGGTGGGGGACCCGCGGAAGCGGCTGCGGAAGAGGCACCGGAAGAGGAGCCTAAGTTGCCCTTCCACGTGTAAGTAAGTTGCCCTTCCGTATCACACGCTCTTTCTTGAAGCTGGGAGATGGGGGAAAGTGGAAGAATGGCCGAGTAGTACTCGTAGAAGCACAGAAGCGGAAGGAGAATCACGAGTTGTGGAATGACATGGATGGAAGAACGGCGCGCTTTCTTATCACATGCTCTTTCTTGGAGCTGGGAGATGAAGGGCAGTCTGTTCTCATGAGTGGAAGAATGGCCGAGTACTATCGTAGTACAAGCACAGAAGCGGAAGGAGAATCGTGGAATGGTAGGGATGGAAGAACGGACGCGTCCTTTGGGATTCGACTGAGAAGCTCTGGTGATTCACGATGCGAGTTATGAGCGTGACTCAGGCATGGTAGCCGCAGCGCCATCGTAGCGAATGTTAGGAACGTGATATGGGATTGGCGCGAAAAAATCAAGGAGCAGATAACTTTTGAATTATAGGAGTGCGAATTGTGGTATATGCTTGACTTGAGTGAGTCACGGGGAGGACGAAACGTTAAAGCCGGCGGCCCAAATTGTTCATGCTTTTAAAAGTTGACCAGAGGGAGTTTTTCTGGTGTGGGCTTTGGCGAGAGTTTCCGATTTCGTCTAGGTTCGTTTTTTTCGCGAGACCCAGCCAACCCTCGGTTTTCCCCCTGGTGAGTGAATCTGTCTTCGAAAGTCCCAAATTGCAAGTGCGTGACTTTCAAAAGCTTGGACACTCAACTTCGTCAAGTTTTAAAAACTTGACCCTCGCGGCCCGCAATTTGGGACGCGGGCTTTAAATTATTGGAACGGGATAATGGGCTTGGCTCGAATGGACTGCGAAGAAGATAGGGTTGGAGTTTACTAGGAACGCGATGCATGCGACGGGTTGCCAAGCGGGTTGTTACTCGTTCGTCCCTTTCGTCAGGTGTACGGCGGTGCTTGACTCGGCGAGTAAATCGCAGGGACGAGATAATCGCGAGGACGACGGAATGCACTATCGCTCACGAATCACGAACACAGTGGCCTTCCGTTCGTCGCTTGCTTCCGTTTATCGCTTCCAATCAGGTTCAGCAGAGAGTTTGTGCGACTCCGCGAAGATCTCGACTAGGAGCTGCATTATAGAACGACCAAAACACTGACTGCACTACGACCCTGTTCGGTAGCCTTCCAGTCACACTGGGCCCGCTCGAACTGGAGAAGCCTATGACGTTTTTCGTAGCCTCGGGCATCCACTCACACTGAAAGGAAGTCTCGTTCCCAAATGCAAGAAGCTACCGTCCGTTTCTTGGAAAATTACTGGCCGAAACTTTTACTGCTGTACTAGGCTGTCCCACCCACAAACAAAAAATCAGCCTGCCAAATGAAAAACCGTCGATATGGATAAAAGAAAATCAGGAACGGGCACGATCTCTCTCATCGTTTGAACGAGCGTGCTAAAAACATTAATCTGACCCGATTCGAAACTAGTGCAGCGTATACCCTCCAGCCTGCCACTCTGAGCGGGCCTGCCTGGGTTGAACTGGAAAGCTGAAATGGGAGGGACTTCCACCGAATGTCGAGTTTGCCTGGGCGCGACAGTTTCGTGGTAGTGTCCTAGCACGCAGTTGAAGTGGGGATTTTATGCGTTCGGTAGCCAAGTCGCACTGGACAGGCTCGGTGTTCTAATAACGATTTGGTGGGCTTTAATCGATTTCGAATTTAGGAAACAAAATATCCCACGCACCAACCGCAGTATGACTGGGGGGGCTACCGAACAGGGCCTGCGTAAACGACCGAAATGCGACTTCAGTGGCAGAAATAATCGAACTGGTGGTAGCCTGTCTGTTGGACGGTTGGCCGTTTGAGTGACGCATTCGGATTTTGTAAATCTTGCCTCTCAGGTCTGACAGACAACTGTTGCGATTGATCCAAGTGTCGCTCCAAGGCCGTGTTTCCGAAATACCGTGGTGTGGAAGTTTGAAGTGACCTACGGAACTCGTGGTCGGGTTGAGGGCAACGCGGAAAATGGCCGCGACTTTCGTCAATAGCGCATGAAGCCTGGCTGGCGCGTTACAAGACTTCGCCACTTCGTGAGAACGTTCACAACCTTCCCGCGCCACAGTTCTGGTCTGGAACCAGTGTCAGAAAATGTGACTTTTCCCCCCAAGGTGAGGCATTCGCATTGCAGCACATACATGGCCAAGCGCATTCGCAGCACAACATTCCACTCTATCCGCTCAATCACCGAAACTGTTATGGTAACACGCATCTGCTCTATCTACGAAGCCTTCATGGTATTCGCGTAGACGCAAAGTTTCTCTTCGCAAATCCCAAACCCAGTAAATAATCGTCGCCTGATAAGCGAATCGTCACCAAGAAATCCCCAGCCGCCAAGCAACAGACACATCACGCAAGCAACAGAAATGAATCTACTTCCCTTCATAACCTCTGTCCTTCTCCATTTCCATTTCCATTTCCACTCACAAATTCTCGCATTCTTCGTTCATTGGGACGGCGTTCGGTCCACCCTCGTTTTTTTATTGGGGCGCGACCGGCTTACCTGCTGATCCGTAGATTGGAAGGTTGTTGTTGACGGTTACGCTTTAACTGACGGTTGAGTTCTCAAGGTGTCACTTGCAGTATCTCGTATTTGTCCGTCGAATCAAGGTCAGCGAGGCACCTTCTTGCGGGATTTACTGGTCATAAATGTTTCGGAAGTGCAGGGTTTTACCGGGCTATTCGCCGTAAATCTGATTTCCGGATTCGCAATCGTCAAGCCTTTCCTGTTGTGGTGCCTTTCGTGAAAACCCGTCAATAAAAACTGGTGCTTCTTAGATCGTTCGAAAGCCCCTGCTTCTTGCGTAGACCCGTTCCGTGGTAGCCATCTTAAGAAGTATCTTACCTGGCGCCTCAAAAGGCGATGGACGGCGGTCACGGTGAGGGGAGCGCGGGCGGTGAGGGATCTGGGCGCGGAGCACGGGGAAGGGGTGGTCGGGGGGGATTCCGCGGATCCGGGGGAAGGAGCAGGGAGGTTGGCGGAAGGCGAGGGGGATTCGGACATGGACATGGGGGAGTAGAGGCGGGGGCAGGCAGGGGAGATGGGGGGGGAGGAGACCGGAGGAGAGGCCCAGGGAGGGGGAGAGGCGGACAGGAAGGATTTAACGGGCAGTTAGGAACCGAAACTTCATCTGCTAAGTACGACGCGCAGCTGCCTGCATCGATGGCCACTAATATGAGCGCGGGGGTTCTTGAATCCGCCGTTATAGTCAACCCCAATACTGTGACGACACGTGTAGCAGCGTCTTCTATCATCGCAACGGCGAAGCGAGTTGTAGTGGTCACGTCGGGAGGTGCAGGATCGGGAGGTGCAGGATCGCAATCTCCAGAGGAGGATAAGGCGGCGCGGAAGAGGAAGAAGAAAGAGAGGCAGAAAGAGAAGAAGGAGATGATGAGGATGATGCAGGAGAAGCAGGCGTTGGATGCAGCCGGAGTGGGGAAGGAAGCAATTGAGCAGCAGCGAGCCGCAGAAGCTGAAAAGCCAGCTGTACTGGCTGAATCGACGGACGCTGCAGAGGAGGACAAGGCGGCGACTCCTAAGGCGCCTCGAAAGGCTGAATTTAAGGAAGCTGCAGAGGAGCATACTAAGGCGGCAACTTTTACGACGCCTCAAAAGGCTGAATCTGCGGAAGCTGCAGAGGAGGATAAGACGGCGCGGAAGAGGAAGAAGAAAGAGAGGCAGAAAGAGAAGAAGGAGATGATGAGGATGATGCAGGAGAAGCAGAGGGATGAAGCAGTCGGAGTAGGAAAAGACGCCATTGATACTAAGCCGCCTCATTTTGCTGAATCGTCGGAAACTGCAGAGGAGAATGCGGCACGGAAGAAAGAGAAGAAGAAAGAGAAGAAGGAGAAGAAGATGCTCGAGAAGCAGGCAAAGGAAGCAGCCAGAGTAGGGAAGGAAGCTTCCGATGCGGCTACACCGTCCAAACCAGAGTCAATTCCGTCCAAATCAGAGTCGATTCCGTCAGTATCAGAACCGGGTCAGTCAAATCCAGAGCTGATTTCGTCAAAGCAGACTCCTGGAGCTGGAAACTCGACGCATCCAGTGGCGCACGCAGGGGAGGGGCAAAATGAGGTCGAGAGGAAGGAAAAGGAGAAGCAGGAGAAGAAGAAGCAGAAGAGGGAGAGGCAGAAGGAGAAGCAGCAGCAGCAGCAGCAGCAGCAGGGAGCGAGTGGAAGTAGGACTGACAGGCAGCAGAGAGGTGGCGGTGCTGGTCCCTCAACCAAGAATGGCAGGGATGGCACAAATTTAGGGATTAAGACTCTCGCACCTAGTGGTTGGGGAGATGCAGCATCCGTGAGTGCAGAGGGAGGCTCTGTGAGTTCAGGGGGAGGCTCGGTGGCTTCTGATTCGGTTCAAAACTCATCTGTCTCGGTGGGGTGGGGTGATTCAACCCAAAAGTCATCTGTTTCGGTTGAGTGGGGTTCTGTGGCGTCCAGTAGTTGGGATGCGAGGACCTGCGGGTCAGATCGGACATCTCAGGCGTTTACTGGGGCTGGCAATAGCGAGGACAGGGGGAAGGAGAGGGGTTTTCGGGGGTGTTTCGCCCCGCACTTGCCGATTGAAGTTGCCAAGCAGAGAATTCAGGTCTGCCTCTCGTGCATGAACCTTTTTTGCGAACCATATGACTTATTATCCAGACTGCAATCTTTTAACCTTCACGTGGTCTTGGTCTGGGATTTTTTTCCTTCAAAGTGTTCATGTAGCTGCATCTATATATTATCATTTCACTTTCCTGCGTGCCTAGCCTTTTGTTCTTTTGCTGACTTTTGAGTCGACTCAAAAGTCACCTCGTTTTCTTGCCATGTGAATTCCCGTTTCCTTCTGTTCCCTTATAAATTTCCAGGACGGCACCCTATTTGCTGCATCGTTCAGGGTCAACGCGCGGAACCGATTTGAGGTCAGTCTACCTTGTCTGCCAAGCATTAGAAAAGCAACATTACGGTTAAAAGTCAGCCCAAAGGTTGCTGCTCTGTTGCTGTTCCTTCGGTGCCTTCTGTGATGCATGTTCGCATGTGCTTTGATTGGGTACTTTGGTGTTCCTTAAGCGTATGTGACTATAAAGGGAGTTATGCGCACTAATCATGCGTTGCCGTTTCTTGCTCTTCCATCAGGCGTATGTGACTATAGAGGGAGTTCCTCGGGATGTCTTGATTTACGGACTCAAGGCACAGAACCGAGCGGTAAGAGTCTGCGTTGATTGAAAATACGTGATTTTTTTTCATCAAATTCCGACGCCGTGGTTCCGCCCATTCGTTCTTTCAATAATGCCGTTTATTTAGTGGAAACAACCGTTGTTCCGTTTTTTTCAGTTGACTAAGACGCTGTAAAAGTCAGCTTACTCATTTCTGTGCGTCGCGTTTTATGTATATGTCTTGATGTACATATATCGAGTCAAATGAAGTTGACGTGTCTGCGCTTCTTGCCTGCAGGTCGAAGGAGACACTGTTGCTGTTGAGGTGGATCCTCCCTCACTGCAGCCCAACGATCCACAGATAGTCACCACACAGGAAGAAGGTAGCGTTTCAAACGCTCACAGTGCGGCAGGCGTGGGTTCAGCGAGTGGAGTTGAGGCAGGTGGAGGAGGGAGCGGAGGGAGAGGAGGAGAGAGGGAGGACGGGAGTAGGCAGGGGGGAAAGGCGGAGGCAATAGAGAGGCTGGCGCGGGCAGTGAGGGGGAATCCTGAGTTGAGACTCACAGGGCGAGTGGTGGCGATTGTTCATTGGTCGGCGCGGAGAGAGGCGGTGGTGGGGCGGCTGGAGCTGCTTCCTGCTGCAGGGGCGCAGATAGAGAAGGAGAGGCAGAGGCGACGGGCTGTGGAGAGGAAGAAGCGAGTGGGGGAGAAGCAGCAGCGGAAGCAGGAGAAGCAAGGGCAGCAGAAGCAGCAGCAGCAAGGGAAGCAGGAGCAGCAAGGGCAGCAGAAGCAGCAGCAGCAAGGGAAGCAGGAGCAGCAAGGGCAGCAGAAGCAGCAGCAGCAAGGGAAGCAGGAGCAGCAGGCGGCAAAGGAGGGGAATGTGAAGGTGTATGAGAGTGGGGATCATAGTGGTGGGGATGAGATTGAAGAGGGGGAGGTGATAGGGGCAGAGGAAGAGGGGGAGGTGGTTAGGGAGGAGGGGGAAGTGGTTTTGGAAGAGGGGGAGGTGATTGGGGAAGAGGAGGAGGGTGGAGTGGTTGGAGAAGAGGGGGAAGTCGTTGGAGAAGAGGAGGAAGTGGTTGGAGAAGAGGAGGAAGTGGTTCTAGAGGAGGGGGAGGTTGTTGGGGAGGAGGAAGCGTTATTCCTGTCTATGGAAGCTGGTGCGACCGAACCGTCTGCCACTGTTGTTGAACTGAAAGAGCCTGCTGTTGGTGCTGATACTGCCCCTGCTGGTGCTTTTGCTGCCGATGCTCCTGCTCCTGTGGCTGCTAATCCGGCTGCTGCTGATTCTGCATCTGCTGCTGTCACTGGTAGCACCAGTGACAGTAATGGAGGCAGCACAGCTAGTACAGGGAACGAAGCACAGTCGGCAACGCCAATGCCAAATTTTGCAGACTTTGGTATAGTCACATTCACACCAGTGGACCCTCGATTCCCCCGCATGCTAGTCCGCATTAGTACCCTACCCAAGGAGATTAAAGACCTCGTCTTAGCAGCCTCCTTAGTCTCTGACACGCGTCAGAAGGCCGACAGGAGGAGGACCAATAAGAGCAGCTCTAGCCCTGCACCGATAGAAGAGGTTGCTTTTGTCGCTGCTGATGCTACGGATGCAACCGGGGCTGATGGGACTGAGTCTGTAGCGAGTGTGACTGTAGCAGAGACAGCTGTATCGGCATCAGTAGCAGCCGCAGATGAGGCGGCAGCGGCTGTAGCAGCAGCAGCGGAGGTGAGGCAGATGCTTGTAGCGGCCAGGCTATCCCACTGGTCTGCAGGCCAGCTCCTGCCCTTCGGTATAGTCACACAGAGCCTGGGGCCGGCAGGGGACGCTGAGACTGAAACGAGGGCGATTCTGGCCCAGTTTGGGATACATGGGGCGGATTTTTCGCCAGAAGTATTAGCAGAGTTGCCTTGTGGGGCTGGTGGGGCGAGGGGTGGTAGTGATGGTAGGGGTGGTGATAGTAGCGAGGGAGCTACTAACGAGGGTGTGAGCAGCAGTGGCGTGGGCGGGGGCAGTGGGAGCAGCAGCGGCAGCAAGGGGGGCAGCAGCAGCAGCAGCGGGTGGCAGATTCCAGCGGAGGAGATCGCAGTTCGCAGGGACTTTCGGGGCACGCGGGTGTTCACTATAGATCCGCCCACCGCACGAGACCTGGATGATGCTCTGTCTATAACGAGGATAAAGGCTGGGGGGGCTAAGGGAAAGAAAAAGGGAAAGGGGAAGGGGAAGGGTGGGTTAGGGAAGGTAGAGGGGGAGAAGGCAGAGGAGAGGAGAGAAGAGGGGGGAAAGGGGGAGGGGGAGGGAGAAGACGAGGAGGAGGAGGAGTTGTACCAAGTGGGTGTTCACATTGCTGACGTGTCATACTTCATACCTCCCGGATCTGCACTAGATGCCGAAGCCGCCCGGCGGTGCACGACAGTGTATCTAATCCAGCAGGCCATGCCGATGCTCCCCCGCCCGCTGTGCGAGGATCTCTGCTCGCTACAGCCGGGGGTTGACAGGCTGGCATTTTCTGTGGTGTGGGATGTGACTGTAACGGGGGAGGTGAGGAGGCAGTGGGCGGGAAGGTCTGTGATTCGTCCGTGCGTCCAGCTGGCGTATGGGCACGCACAGGAGATGATTGATGGGAGGTTTGGCGGAGGGGATGAGGTGGCAGGGTGGGGGCGGGAAGGAGTGGAGGGGAAAGCGGGCAAAGAGGGGAAAATGGGGAAGGAGGAGAGGGATGATGAGAGTGGAATTGGGGGTGTGAGTGAAGGGGGGAGTGAGGGGGGGGGGAGCAGAGGAGGAGACGGAGGGGGAGGAGGGGGCGGAGGGGGAGGAGGGGACGGAGGGGGAGGAGGGGGCGGAGGGGTGGGGAAGCTAGACGGCAGAGTAAACGAGGATTGGCGGCCGGTCCTGTACGGAGGCCACAGGTGGCGCGACGTGATTGGAGACGTGCTGACGCTGCACCACATAGCTCAGAGCCTGAGGAAGGCCAGGGAGGAGAGGGGGGCGCTGATGCAGCTGCAGACGTCCAAACTCAGATTTTCCTTTGATGCTGAGGAGGAGGTGGATGAGGAGGAGGTGAATGAGGAGGAGCTTGTGGGCAGTGCCAGTGGGGATGTGGGTTTTGTTAGCAGCAGCAGCGGTGGTGGTGGTGGTGGTGGTGGCGGTGGTGGTGGTGGTGGCGGCAGCACTAAGTGGAGGCCTGTGGCGGCAGCGGTGGCGCCGGCGACAGCAGCAGCGAACCATCTGGTGGAGGAGCTGATGCTGCTGGCCAATACCACCGTCGCCAATATCATCTCTCGTGCTTTCCCCTCGGATGCGCTCCTCAGGTAATGTCCAGTTGGCCTTCTCCTCCTTGGAACCCGAAACCCTAAACCTTCAGACACAACACAGCAGCAGCGAACCATCTGGTGCAGGAGCTTATGCTGCTGGCTAATACTACCGTAGCCGACATTATCTCGAGGGCATTCCCTTCTCAGGTACTGCCTCTCTCCGCCTTCCCCTCCCACGCCCTCCTCAGGTATTGTCCACCTGGCCTTCTCCCCCTCAAACCTTAAACCTTCAATCTTAAACCATAAACCGCCAGCGACAGTGGCAGCGAACCATCTGGTGGAGGAGCTGATGCTGCTGGCCAGCACCACCGTCGCCAACATTATTTCCCACGCATTCCCTTCTGACGCCCTCCTCAGGTATTGCTCCTTGCTCCCTCTCGCCTTCCTCTCGCCTTCCTCAGCAGCGAACCACCTGGTCGAGCAGCTGATTTTGGCTAATACCATGGTTGCCAACCTTATAACCTTACCACGGTGGCCTTCCCCTCCCACGCACTGCTCTGGTAATGTCCAATGAGCCAGTGTGTTAGAATCTCTAAACCAGAAACCATACATCAGAAACCTTAAACCCATAAACCATGAACCATCTGTCGGAGGAGCTGATGCTGCTAACGAATACCATTTTTCATCTGATGTAGCCAACATCATTTTTCGAGCCTTCTCTTTGCAATGCGCTCCTTAGGTGTCATCCAATAGGCCTGCATAATGGAATTGCAGGCGCCACCCCGCTCCAAACGCCAAGAAGATGGGCGATTTCCTTCGATTAGCCTGCAACCTGGGCGTGCTTTTGGCAGAGTTCATGTGCCTAGCTCATTCTTAATCTCTCCTGTGCTGTGCCTTCCCCCTTCCCCCCTTCCTCCCCATCTCCCTCTTGTCATGGTTTGAGTCTTAACTCAAAACACAGCTTTTGGCAGAGTTCATGTGCGCTGCTCATCATTGTCTCTCCTGTGCCTTCCCCCTTCCCTCCTTCTTCCCCACCCCCCTGTTCCCTGTGCCCCCTTGCAGGCGACACCCCCCTCCCAACGCCAAGAAGATGGGTGATTTCCTGCGCTTCGCCTGCCAGCAGGGTGTGCTGTCAGCAGATTTCTGCAAAAAGCTGGTGCGGGAGTGCCCAGAACTGAAGCAGCTTATAGCGGGTACAGGCGGGGGAAAAGGGCCAGGAGGCTTGGAGGAGATAACAGAAGGGGAGACGGAGGGAGCCGGGGGTAGCATGGATGGAGTGATTCCGTCCAAAGTGCTAAGTGAAATACTTAACGAGGTGGGGCGGGCTGTGGAGGATCCAGGGGAGAAAGCGCTGCTGCTGCTCATGGCTACTAAGCCCATGCAGCTGGCTCAGTACTTCTGCAGAGGGCAGTGGGGTGGGGATGATGTGGATGATAGTAACGAGGATGGTGAGGATGGCTATGAGGAGGGTGGTGATGGTGATGGGTTCCCTAGGGGAGGTGGATTTGGGCGGGGAGGTAGATCTGGGGTAGGTAGATCTGGGGGAGGTAGATTTGGGGGAGGCAGGGGAGGCAGATCCGGGGGAGGTACATCTGGGGGAGGTAGATCTGGGGGGGGCAGGTCTGGCAGGGGAGGTAGTTCTGAGAGAGGTAGGTCCGGGCGGGGAGGTGCATTTGCTGCCAGTGCAGGTACATCTGGAGGAGATGGCGCGTGGACGTCTCATTACGGGCTGGCCCTCGACCTGTACACGCATTTCACCTCCCCCATCCGCCGCTACGCTGACGTCATCGTGCATCGCCAGCTGGCGGCCGCGCTGGCGGCAGAGGAGAGGCTTATAGCGAGGATGGGGCTGAGCAGCAGTGTGAAGTGGGAGAAAAAGGGGCTGGGTGTAGGATGGGGAGCAGGAGGATCAGAGGAAGGAGAGGCAGGCGGGGCAAAAGAAGAGAGGGGTGAAGCACAAGGAGCAGGAAGGAATAGGCATGAGGTGAATGGCGATATCAACGTAACGCTGCTGAGGAAGCTGACAGGGATAGCGGCTGGAGGTAGAGTGCTCACTGCTGTGGGGGATCCCCTGGGGCTGTTGGCAGGGTGTGGAGGGAGTGGGGGAGAGGGGAAGGGAGAAGGGAAGGGAGAGGGGAAGGGAGAAGGGAAGGGAGAAGGTATGCAGGGAGGGCGAGGAGGAGGGAAAGACGGGGGCAGGAGAGGAGGGAAAGGAGGGAGAGGAGGGAGACGGGGAGGGAGAGGACGGGGAGGAGGAAGGGGAGGGAGGGGAGGAGGAGAGGCGAATGAAGACAAGAAGAGCCTGTTACGTGGTGAGCTGGTAACTGCAGTGCAACACGAGTGCCAGCTGGTGCACAAGGAACGAGCGATGCCGCCTGCCGACGCCGTCGCTGATGTGGCGACGCGGTGCAACGAGAGGAAGCTCGCTGCCCGATACGCGCAGGAGGCGAGCGAGCGGCTGTTCCTGTGCCTGCTGCTGCGGCGCACCCAGGGGTGCCTTTCGAAGGCCTGGGTGGTGAAAATCGGGCCGCGCTACATGAACGTCTACATTGAACGCTTTGGGGTGAGTACATAGGTGTTCAGCAGGAGGCGAGCAAAAGGCTCTTCCTGTGCCTGCTGCTGCAGCGCACCCAGGATTCCTCTCCAACGCGCGGGTGACAGCAATTGGGCCGCGCTACATGAACGTCTACATCGAACGATTTGGGGTGAGTGGGGTAAGGGTGGGGCTGCACGTGTGTGATACGTTGATACGCGCAGGAGGCGAGCGAGAGGCTGTCACTGTGCCTGCTGCTGCGGCGCACCCAGGGGTGCCTCTCCAACGCATGGATCACAGCCATTGGGCTGCGCTACATGAACGTCTACATCGAACGCTTCGGGGTGAGTAGGGTAAGGGTGGGGCTGCACGTGTGTGATACGTTGATACGCGCAGGAGGCGAGCGAGCGGCTGTTCCTGTGCCTGCTGCTGCGGCGCACCCAAGGGTGCCTCTCGAATGCGCGGGTGACTGCCATTGGGCCGCATTATATGAATGTCTACATTGAACGCTTCGGGGTGAGTGGAAACTGGGTGTGCTGAGGTTGTTTGGGGAGGGTAATGGACTGCAGGCGAGTGCGAGGCTTATATGCAAGCAGGAGGCGAGTGCGAGGCTTATATGCAAGCAGGAGGCGAGCGAGCGGCTGTTCCTGTGCCTGCTGCTGCGGCGCATCCAGGGGTGTCTTTCTAAGGCCTGGGTGGTGAAAATCGGGCCGCGCTACATGAACGTCTACATTGAACGCATTGGGGTGAGTTGTTGGGGGTGAGTCCAGCTAGGGTGTTGACTGTCTCTCCAGAGCGTGGGTGGTGTTGGGGTGAGTTGTTGGGGGTGAGTCAAGCTAGGGTGTTGACTGTCTCTCCAGAGCGTGGGTGGTGAAAATCGGGCCGCGCTACATGAGTGTTTACACCAAGCGCTTCGGGGTGAGTAAAGTAGGGTCTGCTGCTGCTGGGGCTGCACGCATGTGCTAGGTGGGTGGGTTGATACGCGCAGGAGGCGAGTGAGAGGCTGTGCCTGTGCCTGCTGCTGAGGCGCACCCAGGGGTGCCTCTCGAATGCGTGGGTGGTGGACATTGGGCCCACACCATACGTGACCGTCTACATTGAACGATTTGGGGTGAGTTGCGATGCCTGTTCGTCTCCTCCCTCCCCACTGTGCAGATGCAGGTGAAGCGTGCCATTCGCGTTAACTCTACCTACCAATGCTTTTCCACCTCAATTCTTATTCTTTGCCACACTCCCTCCCTCCCTTTCTGCCCTGCCTTTTTTTCTCTTCCTTCCCCACTGTGCAGATGGAACGACCCATTCACTTCAACTCCATCCCCAACACCACCTGCCAATGGGTCGCTGCCACTAGTACCGTCATCATCGGCGCCAAGCCTCCGCCCTCTGTGGCTAACGCCAAGGCTCGGAATGGAAAGGCTCAGAAAGACCAGACTCGGAACGGCACGGCTGGAATTGCTGCAGAGTGCAGAGCAGCAGCGGCGGTGGCAGATCTACCAGCAGATGATTTGGCCCACCTGATTTCGCCAGCAGCGTTGGTTCAGAAGAATGGCGGGGATACAATCGGTAGTAGCAGTGATAACGAGGAGAGAAGCAGCAGTGCTGTGGCAAGTGGGGGTTCGGAGAATTCTACTGGGATTTCAGGCCTGGCAGCAGATGATCTTGCCCGTAGCATCTCCCCTGATTTGCTCGAAGGAGATGATGATGCAGATGGTGGAGGAGATGGTGCTTATAACGAGGATGACAGTATCCTGTTGGTTGATGGAGGGTTGGCAGCTGCAGCAGAGGCAGCAGCGGGAGTGGGGGACGAGGGAGAAGGGGGAGTGCTGCAGCCTGTGGTGCTGCCGCTGACGCTCCGTGTGATGTCTCAGGTGCATGTGTTTGTGCATACCACAGGGGGTGGCAAGCAGTTGATGGATATTGGAGTTCGTCTGTACGTTGGCTGACCGAAAATGGATTGCATAGTTGGAAATGGTGGATGAGGGGGGGGGGGAGTGAGAGTTGCAGCCTGTGGTGTTGCCGCTGACGCTTCGCATCATGGCTTGGGTGCCTGTGTTAGTGCATACCACGGGCGGTGGCAAGTAGTTGATGAATATTGCGGCTCCTTTCTACGTCGGTTGATTGAAAAATGTGGATTGCACGTGTACTGGTTGCACCAAATGAGAAAAAAAACCATACGCATTGCAATTAAGGGAGTGGTTCTTTGTTCTTCTATTGGTGGGCGTGTACCAGGGCCTCGGATTCTCTTTTAGGGTCGTCGACCCATCAGGGTACCCCTGTGTAGAAACCCTGATTGACAGTGTTCCTAAAAAAAAAAAGCCTGATATATCAGTGGTGCCTTTGAAAAAAGGCTGATGCATCAGTGTTCAATAATATAAAAGGCTGTTATAATTAGAAATTTCTATTTTATGTACTAAGTCAGTAACAGCCTTCCGAAGCATTGCTAAGCTAACATTCCTCATGTCATGAATCATCACCAGCCGTGCTATCGTCACTGCCCTTAGCCTTTGGTTCTTCTCTCTCCTCCTCAGTTTGGGACACCAGTACGTGATAGTGCTTTTTGACACACACACCCCGGCTTCACTTCTGCTTGCGACACATACACGTTGAAGCTGCAGGGGCAGGGTTTGGGGGAGGAACCGGATTGACAGGCAGGGTGAGGCAGGGAAAAGGAGAAAAGGAGGGAGAGAGGAGGGAAGACTGGCACGGTTGGGGGGGAGACGACCGGGGGAGAGAGGGAGTGGACGGAGTGCGGGGTAAAGGGAGCGGAGGAATGGACAGCAGGCGCGCGGGTCATGCCGTCGCGCAGCACGACGCTCTGCGCACCGCCCGTGGCGCAGATGGCCTTTCAACCGCGGTTCGTGCTGGCGACGAGGCAGCCTTCGGTCGTCGCCATTAGCACGAAAAACTACACGTCGTCGAGTCGTAGCGGGCTTACGACACAGACGGGAATTGCCACGTGGCCGACGACCATCTCGCAGCATGCGCTGCGGATCGTGTCGAACGGGAGCGATGTGTTCGGCGAGACAAGAGGAGGTTCGGCGGCGCTCGCGATGGGTTCGATTCCCAACAGCCCGCCGTTTCTGGTGCTGATGGCGCCATGTATTAGTGCAGACGAGAAAGCACGAGAGGAATCGGGCTGAGAGGGAGGGAGAGAGAAACAGGAGGAAAAGTAACACGAGAGATTGGATTGGAGGGAATGGGAGCATCAATGCTTGCCAGCACAGCCAACGGTGTAGGAACCCTCGCAGCCCTCAAGCACCACATGGTTGCCACATTCCGATTAGCCAACGCTTTATGCTGGAGCGAAACTGCCCAATGGAGTGCTGGCACCGCAGGAATATGAGATTCCCTGTAATCGCGGGCAAATCCACACGGAACAAGAATTGGTTTCAGTGTTAGTTTCGTTACAACGCTGTGGAATCAGTGTACTCGGGAAAAAAAGTCTGAAATTTCAGTGTGGCCTAACAAAAAAGGCTGAAAGATCAGCCCCACAAAAATCTCAACACTGATTTTTCAGTGTAGGTAAAAAAAGGACTGCCAAAATCAGGAATTTCAGGGTTTTTTTTCCTGATATCTGAGGCCCTGGCGTGTACTAATTTCTCTTGTGAGGACCAGTTGCACTTACCTTACGGTATTCCTACCAAGGCCCAGAATAATAAGTTACACAATTGGTTCTATACATACAGAGCACCGTCTTGTCAAACCTTCGAGGTGGCCTGTTCAATGTGTTAAGCCTAACGCAAATGAGATTAATGGGAAAAGTATACTTCACTTTGGAGTGGAAAATGACAGTTAACAGTAGTAATCACAGAAATATGCGAGGCATCGGGCCATCTATTGCGATGCATGTCTAGGCGCGTACGCTGTTGTTTCTGAACAAACACCTCGCGGATCCGATTATCCCACCAGCTCCAAGTTGGAATTATCAGTGGTTTCGCTTGTTTAGAATGGTTAACCCTCGGTTTATGGAGACCAGACCTTGGGAACATCACGCAAATGGCAGCAGCTTATGGCTCGATCTGGTCTCCCTCATCGATTCTTGTTGACACTGTCAGCTTGTCGTGCCAGTTGCAGAAGGTGACAAGGCAATCTTGCCCTTGTGTCGCGTCAGCAATCTTGCCCTTGTGTCACTGTAGCTCGCTCCTCAAACCGAGCCGAGATTCCGAGCCAAGCTCCCCTTGACTCCCTCCCGCCAATCTCCCCATTTCCCCGCATCCCGCCGAGCCAGTTCTGTTCTGTTCCGTGACTGTGACTCAGCTCTCGGCCTGTCCTCCGCCTGTCTCTTCGACGAGTCCTCCCGATTTCTGAAGAGCTAGCATGCACCTGACCTGACGGGTTGGTTGGTCCCTTTCATGCGAGCTCCGTTCCGCGAAACCGCTTGGTTCTCCCTCAGTTCGTCTTTAGAAGGTTACGGTGGTTTCAACTCAGCAAGAAATGCTTAAACGTTCCGATGTAACTAAACTCTTGTACTGTAATTGCAGCTTGAACCAAATCTCGAGGGGCACAATCCACTCCGCTCAACCGAACTTCCCCCTAATCTAGCCCCCACGTTTTTCCGCCTTCTCTGTAACCCTTGCGCTGATCCCCTCCGTTTCCTCCGACCACTGCAGATCTGAATTCTTTTCCTCGATTCTTCCTGTTCTGTGGTTGTTACTGATGCTTTTTTAGAGTACATCGGAACAGAACAGTGTTGAGGAAGATAGCACGAGCAGTCATGCTGAGGCTCATAAGCCGATTATATTTGAATTCCGATCTTCTTTCCAGTTTCAACTTTCTGATGCAGCAGGAAGCTGTAGAGCGAGTAAGCTGTCTGAAATCATTTAATATATGGCTGTTAGTTCTTTCGCTTGCAGGTGCAATACAAACGTAGCTGCGAGCTTCCTAATACGCTATTCGTGGTTTATATTCGCATCAAGCCATTTGAGATATTCAGATCGTTTTTCGCATGCGTGTCATGTTGCATTTATTCTACTTAAGTTCTTTCTATTTTGTTGTTTTCTTGTTTGTTTCTGGTCGTTTTTCAAGCAGCTTTTAAATTACTGGTTGCTACTTTCCTTTTTTTTTTTCCCCTCCTTCCAAAGCAGCTGATTGGACTTAAGTCGACTCTATCCGCCACTCCCAGGCACCACGATTAGTGCATATAAGAGAAGAAATAGGGCATCCATGCCATGAGGTTAGCTACTAGAAGAGCGGCTCTTGTTCGTGGTTCCAGTCAATCTAGCGGTTGATTGATCTTTCCAACCTACGCGTTCATCAGATCAGACATCGCGGTTGTGTAGCATTTGCACTTTCACGGCTGTTGGGGATGCCGAGCGGAAAACAACGGCAGGGCGAGGGGGACGACGATGAGAACACGGGGAAGGAGCGGCATCGGTCGCACAGGGAGAGGGACAGCGACGGCCATGGCGGCCCGACCCGTCCCCTCGCATCGTTAATGTCGACTGCTCCTCACGTTCCGCATGGGCAGAGATCCCATCATGGACACGACGCGGGACACGCGGGAAACGCAGGAAGCCCGGGACACGCGGGAAACGCGGGACACGTGGGGCAGAGGACTCATAGTAGTGATCCCGGACCAAGAGCTTCGCAGGATGCGCATCGTACTTCGCATCATGACCCGTCGCCTCCCCTCGACAAGCATCTTTCAACGCTTCTCGCGGACATAAATGCTGTTTGTTCGAAACCGGGAGGTGGCTTGCCGAATCTTAAGGCCGTGGAGTCGCTTCTCTCGCTTGTGAATGCCGACAAGAGCGACGGGCGACGGAAGCTCGGTTTCGCCGACGCCGTCGCACGTCGTCGCGCGGTCGCTCACGCTGTCGCAGCCACGGACGAGGAGTCGTGCCTGTCTCATTTCATCGCGAAAGGGGGTCTGAAAACCCTAGACGAATGGTTGCAGGAAACGCACAAGGGCAAATACAGCCACGGGAACACCACCAGCAGCGGCAGCGGCGGCGGCGGAAGCGTCAGGGGAGCAGATACAGTCGATCAGGCCGCGCTAGACGACCTCTTATTAGCGCTTCTCCGCGCGTTAGCGCGTTTGCCGGTCGATCTCGAGGCTCTTAAGAGCTGCGTGGTGGGCAAATCGGTGAATCAGCTGCGCAGCCAGCGCAACGCGGAGGTGCAGAGGCGTGCGAAGCGGTTGGTGGAGGTTTGGAAGAAGCGCGTTGACGAGACGCTCGCGGAGAACATGGGGCGGAAGAGCGCAGTGGGAGGGGGAAGCGCAGGGGGGAGTGCAGGGGGAAGCGCAGGGGGAAGTGCAGGGGGAGGGGGAGCCGCTGCGAACGTAGGTACAGCAGCAAGTGGAGGGACAGCAGCTTCAGGAGCAGAAGCAGGGACAGGGAGGGCAGGAGCGAAAAAAAAGGCACCCGTTATAGTCACACCTGTGGCCGCATCACCCCTGCGACCGTCCGCTGTTTCTTCCCCTGCGTCTTCACCAACCCAGCCCACAGCAGGGTCGGGGCAGCTTCGGGCGACCAAACCTAGTGGCTCGGCAGGGGACGGGGGAGACCTCGGCGGGACGCCGGGGGCGGGGAGGGGGCGAGGGGGAGGCGGAGCGGGGGAAGGGGGGCGGCCGCCACCTTCCCCCTTGTCCGTTCCGGGGGGCAGCCCCAAGGGCAGAGGGGAGTCGCAGGTTTCGCCTGGGAGCCTGAAAAGTGGTAACCAGAAGGGTCACGCAGGTGCGTTACAAAAATCTGGTGGGAGTGGAAGCAAGGTGGTGAGCCCGAAAGGAGTAGGTTCGGCAGGCAAAGGAAAGGGAACGGAACGGGCGGAGGGAAGGGCTACTGGGGTGGGAGGAGAGGGGAGAGGAGATGCTCGGGAGCAGGAAGTGGGAGAAGAGAAGAAGAGAGAGGAGAGGGAGGAACAAAGAAGTGGGTCATTGCAAGCGGAGGAGGAGAGGGAGAAGGAGAAGGAGAAGGAGGAGGAGAAGGAGAAGGAGAAGGAGAAGGAGAAGGAGAAGGAGGAAGAGGAGGAGGAGGAGGAGGAGGAGGAGGAGGAGGAGGAGGAGGAGGAGGAGGAGGAGGAGGAGGAGGAGGAGGAGGCGGAGGAGGAGGAGGAGGAGGAGAAGGAGAAGGAGAAGAAGGAAAAGGAGAAGGAGAAGGAGAAAGAAAAAGAGGGGAAGCAACCAGGGGCGGGGAGCAAACCAGGGAAAGAGGAGGGTGCTGTGGGCGATAGTGAGCTGTCGAAAGCAGAAAGATCAGCCGACATAGATGCTGCTGCTGCTGTGTCTGCTGTGGCCTCTGCTGCCCCTGAGTCGTCTGATGGGCAAGGCAGGCTGCAGGAACGAGCTGGCTCGAGCAAACCGCTGGGAGAGGCTGTTCTGTTGCCAGAGACGGAGAAAGAAGAGAAGGAGAAGCAAAGGGAACGGAGGGAGGGGAAGGAGGGAAAGGAGGGGAAGGAGGGGAAGGATCTCGAGGAAGGAAAGGAGGAAAGGGAGGTGGAGGCTAGAATATCCTCATCAGGGCAAGCAGAGAGGCCGCGGTTGGTTGAAGAGGGAAAGGCAAAGGATGGCGAAGGGATGGAGGGGAAGGACGGGGAGAAAGAGCGCGAGGAGAAGGCGGAGAAAGGGGTTGATCTCGTGGGGAAAAGAGAGGGAGACGAGGTTGCGAGTGGTGTCAAGGAAACAGAGTCAGGCTTGGGTGAAGCATTGAAGGGAACGCGAGGCGGGGCGGGATCAGAAGGTGGTGCAGGGACAGCTGAGAAAGTTGGTGCTTGTGTGGTTGAGGAGAAGGGGGGTAAATCAGAAACCGTGGCTGCTCCTGCTGCTGCCCCTCCTCCTCCTCCTCGTCCCCCCCCTCCCCCTGCTGCTGCTGCTGCTGCTGCCGCTCCTGATGCTTCCGCGGCTTCTGGAACACCAGAGAAAGGAGAGCCAACGGCAGCAAACCGTCTAGTAGTGAAGATCCCAGTACCTGTAAGGAGCCCTGCCGTTAGTCCAGCCGGTGGGTTGGAGGGCCGTCAAGTCGCGAGTTCCCCTATGCGCAGCAGCAGCGAGAAGGCCTCTAGTGGGAGTCGGAGGGAGGAGGAGGAGAAGGGGCGGAAGGGGAAGGAGAAGAAAGGGGAGAAGGAGGGTGAGGGGCGTGGGGAGGAGGAAGGAGAGAGGAAGAGTGGGGTGGATGGGAAGGGGAGGGAGAAGAAAGGGGAGAAGGAGAGTGAGGGGCGTGAGGTGGAGAGGGATAGGGAGCATGGGAGGAAGAGGGAGAGGGAGAAGGATAGGGAGAAAGGGAAGGAGAAGGAGAGAGGGTCGAAGGATAGGGATAGGGAGTCTAAGAGGAGCAAGCATAAGCATAGGGAGGGTAAGGAGGGTAAGGAGGGGAAGAAAGAGAAGGGGAAGGACAGAAAGGATAGGAAAGAAAAGGAGAGGCAGAAGGAGAGGGATAAGGAGAAGAAGGAGAAGGATAAGGATAAGGATAAGGATAAGGTTAAGGAGAAGGAGAGGGATAGGGAGAAGGAGAGGGAGAGGGAGAAGGAGAAGGAGAAGGAGAAGGAGAAGGAGAAGGAGAAGGAGAAGGAGAAGGAGAAAGAAGGGGAGCATTGGAAGGACAAGGAGAAAGACAAGGGAAAGAAGGAGGAAGACGGCAGTCCGGCAGAGCGATCAGAGGGTGGGGAAGGCGCAGGAGGAAAAGGAGGCGCACAGAGAGTGCCTGGAGAGAAAGGGAAGAAGGAAGAAGGAGAGGGACGGGCGGATGGGGAGGAGCCCAGCGCTGCAGAGCAAGATGCGAACAGCAAGGCAGACTCGCTTGTCACAGGCGTGGGAGCGAGTGCTCTGGATGGAAGTATAGCTGGAAGGCAAGAGCGTGTGGGTGGTGCTGCAGTTAGCCCGCCTGTGGAGGGAGTGGCGGCTGTAGGAGCAGGGAGTGTGGGCGGAGAAGGGAGTGGAAGGGAAGCAGAGAGCCGGCAGCAGCAGGGGGAAGCGAGGAGGCAGGGGGAAGTTGAAGATGAGGATAAAGGGGGAGAGAGCAGAAGTGCTCGTGGTGGTGGTGGTGGTAGTGGTGGTGGTTCTGGCGATGCGGGTGTTGCTGCTGGTGCTGAATCTGGTGGTGGTGGGGACGCAAGGCAAGAGTCTGGTGATGTGGGTAGTGGGAGAAGGAGTGGGGGAGGCGAGCCGGAGGTAGCAGGGGAAACGGCAGGAAAAGAAACAGGAGCAGAGAAGCGGGCAGGGGCAGGGGCAGGGGGAGGGGCAGAGAAAGGCGGTGGGGCAGGAGAGCAGGGATCTGGGACAAGGGAAGGGGGTTCGAAAGGGGAAGGATTAGGAGTAGGAGTGGGAGTAGGAGGATTAGGGGGATTAGGAGGAGGAGGAAACGACTTGATAGCCTTTTTAGCAGAGGAAGCCGTTGCTGGGCCATCAGAGAAGGAGGGTGCTGTTGCGGGCGAGACACTGAAGGAAGGTGCAGGGAGAGGGAGGGGAGATGGGCGGGAAGAGGTAAGTGGCAGGGAAAAGGTTTCTGATGGTAAGGGGCTGAAGCAGCAGCAGGGAGAGCAGGAGCGTGAGCAGGAGGGGAAAACGGAGCAGCAGCAGCAGCAGGGGGAGCAGGAGGGGAGGGCAGAAGTTGGTGGTGGGGACGAGAGAAGGCTTATTGTAAGATTCTCTGTGAACAAACGTGGGAATGAGGAGATGGTGGAGGAGGAAAAAAATGGTGTGACAGATCTGGGGGGAGCAGCAAGTGGGGCTTCTTCTGAGAGTAAATCCCTGGAGCGTCAGGGCAGGAGGGATGCTGAGAACCAAGCGGCAAGTCCTGTTAGTGGCGAGCAGACACAGGGGGATCGGCTGAGCGAGGGGAATGCTGCAGAGGTGTCAGGAGGGGCAGGGAAGGGTTGGGGTGGGAGGAGGGAGCAAGAGAGATTGGGTGCTGAGTGCAAGGAGCGGGAAGCTTCTGGGAATGGTCCTGTGGAAGGGCGTGGCGAGTTTGGGGGTGCGAAGGAAAGTGAGCAGAGGAAGAGAAGAGAGGGAGTGAGAGAAAGAGACGGGGGGAGAGAAAGGGAGGCGGGGAGAGAAACGGAGGGTGTGAGAGAGAGGGAGAGCGATCCTGGCCCTGAGAGTGGAGGAGGGCTGAAGGCTGATGTGGCGATGGCAACTGGTGGAGGGCGGCAGTTCTCGGACTATCTGCCGCCCAGAAGAAGAGGGTCGGACAGCGATCGACCCCGTGCCCCCACTGGCTCGAGTGAGTGTGTGTTGGTTTTCTGATTGTGGTAGGAGACGAGTGTGTGTGTGTGTGTGTGTGTGTGTGTGTGGTATTTGTTTTTTTTTTGTTTTTTTTCTATTATATATATATATATTTATATTTATATTTGTTCTTTCGGTACATCATGTCATAATGATAGTGGTGGTTTACTCCACTGAGTGTCCTGCTGACTGTTAAAAATGTTTTCTTTTTCTTTTATTGTTTCTGTGTTTGTGCCTTCTCTCACTCCCTCCCACTATGCACCACTTTTGCCTCCGGTCTCCCCCAACCCGTCTCCTCCTGTCTATCCCTTTTCTTACCACCCTTGTGCCAGGGCTCCTCTACTACTGCCTTCCCTACAGTTCCTCTTACAAACGTTCTCTTCTCTCTCGCCTCGGCTTTTTCTTCCCGTCCCTCCAGGCATAGTCACAGGAAGGAGATCGGCTGTGATTATAAAGGGCACTGTCATCCCCTCGCCACTCTCCCACCGGCCAGTCAAGAAAGTCAAGGCAGTCAAGATGGCTGCCGTTGCCTCAGTCATGGAAGCTTCCCGCCCCAGCACCCTCCCTTCCTCCCCCCCTCACTCCACCCACGAGCCCACACTCCACCCCGCCACGTCCTCTCTCTCCTCTCTCTCCTCCCCGCCTCGCGCCCCTCCTCCCTCCTCTCCTTTGCTCTCTCGAATCCCCAAGGGGAGGCGGTCCCCTGTTCCTTGGCTGCCCATGGGGGGTTCTAGGGGTGCGTCTCCTGCTGTTTCCGAGGGGGACGGGGGTGAGGCAGAAAGGAGGAGTCCCAAGGGGTTGAGTGAGATTGCGAGTGGGTTGAGAGGTGTGGGTGACGGTGCTACGCCTGCTGCTGCTGCTGCTGCAGATGTTCCTGCTGCGTCTGGATCTGCAACTGCAGCAGCTGCTGGTGATAGTGATGGTGGCGGTGGTGGTGGTGGTGCTGCTGCTGCTGCTGCTGCTGCTGCTGCTGCTGCTGCCACTCCCGCTGCTGTTCCCGCTGCTGTTCCCGCTGCAGGTCCTGCTGCTGTTCTTGCTACCAAGACTGGTGATATGGATGAGTGTGGGGCAAGCAGAGCTATTACACCCAGAGAGGAGCTCCAAGGGGTGAGAGAAAATGTCTCGGATTCTCGAGGGTTGGCGGGCGGCGGCAACTGCAACAGTGCAGATGCGGACGAGGAACCGCCGCCCACCGAGACTGCTACAGTGCTGGCGTCGCTGATGAGCGTGGCGGGTGCTGAGAGGGCTGAACTGGGGGAGGTTCCATCTGGGGGAGGCGCCAAGGGGGGAACTGGGGGAGGCACTGAGAGGGGCGGTGGTGGGGGCAGAGAATCAGGGTTTGAGGGATGTGAGGCCGAAGGGGGAATGACTGGGATATTGAGTGGGCGGGATGGGGAGTCACGGGTGGTGGAAGAGGGAAGGGCGATGGGAGAGAGGGGAGAGACTGAAGGGATGGGAGGTCAGGTAGAGGGCATGGGAGGGGGAGTGGAAGATGGACCAAGCGCGGATCAGCTCGCGATTGAATGCCTGCTGAAAGCCGCAGAGGCCAAGGATGAAGGCGAAGGGGAGTTGCCTGATGATGTCATGGGGAGCAGAGGCAGATTGGGGCAGGGAGCGGGGGCAGATGTGAAAGAGTTGGCTGCAGGAAGGGCGGCAGCAGCTGGGGAGGTAGCAGCAGCAGCAATGGTAGCAGCAGAGGTTGATGTAGAGGCAGCAGGAGGCAATGCAGCAGCAAAACCAGGAGCAGGAGCAGGGGCAGCAGATTCAGAGGATGAAGAGGAGTTGAGTGTGGCAGCAGTTTTGGCGTCTAGTAAATGGCAGGGCAAGGGGCGGCAAAACGGCCAACTAATTTCCAGTTCTGGTCGCTCTGATACCATTCCGACGGCCTCCGCTCTCGCCTCTGCTGCTGCAGCCGCGGCTGCTGCCAGTGCTGCACTGCACGCTGCTTCCCTGTCCTCTGCGCTCACCTCGCACCCTTCCCCCCTGTCGTCCCCTCCTCTCTCCCACCGCTCCTCCCTGTCTGCTCCTTCTCTCCCTGCCTCCTTGCAAAGTCCCTGGCGGGCGGCTCTTGCTGCTGAGATCGCGAGGGAGAAGAGCGAGGGTGCATGGGTGGCCGGATCAGATATTGCGGTAGGCTCTGGGGCAGGCGCAGTGGCAGGGAGTGCGGAAGGGAGAGAGGCAGAGGGAGCGGGGGTGGCTGGAGAGGGAGAAGGGGAGAAGCAAGTGAGGTTGCCTGTTGCTAAGAGACTGAAGGTGTGTGGTGATGGGGATACAGACAGTGTGGGGAGTGGGGGAGTGGGGGGTAAGAGGGGGAAAGGGAGTGAGAAGAAGAGGGAAGAAGGGGAGAGGTCGGTGGATGGGGGGAGGAAGGAAGGGGGGGAGAAGAAGGAAGAGGGGGGAGAGAAGAAGGAAGGGGGGGAGAAGGTGAAAGTGACAAGGAAGAGGACGGGAGCAGGGGTGTCGAAGGCTGGAGGGGAAGGGGCACGGAAGGCTGGAGGAGTGGGGAAACCACGTGGGCTGGTTCAAACCAAGGATGGGTCAGCAGCAGCAGGAGCAGGAGCAGGAGGAGCAGGAGGAGAAGGAGGGGGAGGAGTTACTGGAGTGTCAACAGGAGCAGCCGGAGCAGCAGGAGCAGCAGGAGTAGCAGCACCAGCAGTGGGAGGAGCAGCAGCAGCAGCAGTAGCAGCAGCAGCAGCAGGAGCTGGGGCAGGGGCTGCGATTGATGTAGCGAAAGAGGAGAAGCAGGACGGTGCAGGGGAGGCAGGTGGGAAGGTGGGAACACCAAAGAAGCAGGGAAAACAGGAGAAGGAGGAAAAGCAGGAGAAGGAGGAAAAGCAGGAGAAGGAGGAAAAGCAGGAGGATATTCCGCTGCGGCGGCTGCAGAAGCAACAGGCAGCTGAAAGGAAGGAGGCGAAGGCTCGTCAGCAGCAGCAGCTGATGCACCAGCAACAGCAACTGTTAAAGCAACAGCAGCTGAAGCAGCAGCAGCAGCAGCAGCAGGTGCAGGAGGGAGTGGGTTTGACCAAAGGGGAGGAGGCGGGTGAGGAGGATGGGGTGCTTGGGTTACAGCAGCTGCAGCAGGCTCTGATGCACGGCCAAGCCGGGCCTTCAAAACAGCCGCAGCAGCAGCCGCAGCAGCTACTGCCACAGCAGCAGCAGCAGTCCCCGTTAGTGTCACAGTCACAGCTGCACAAGGGCCTGCCACTACAAGCACAAAAAGGGTCGTTACAGTCACAAAAAGGCGTACAATCACATGGGCAGAAAGCATCACTGGTGCAGGGACAACAGGGGCTGCACTCTTTACAATCACACTCGCAGCAGGGGCTGCACTCGTTACAGTCACAAGCACAAGGAGGGTTGCAGTCACAGGCACAAGCACAGAAGGCTGAGCATTTGCAGGAGAAGCAGGGGCAGACTCATGGGGCAAAAGCGGGTGGGGCTGCAGGGGGGGCTGGTGGGACAAAGAGGAAGGCAAGCAGAGCAAAGAAGTCTCCTGAAGAAGCTGTGCTGCAGCAGCAGCAGCAGCAGCAGCAACAACAACAGCAGCAACAGCAAGGGCAGCAGCGGAAGCAGCAGGAGGAAAAGCAAGCTGAGAAGCGGCCTCGCATTCTGTTTGACTTTGACTTGAATGTCGCTGAGGACACTGCTGAAGATGCTACAGTCACCGCAACAGCCGGTCCAGCAGCCGCTACATCCGGTTCACCAGCCACCTTTCCTCCCACTGCTGCCGCTGCTGCCGCTGCTGCCGCTGCATCTGGCCCTGTCTCTTCCCACACCCCTGCCACTCCCGCTGCCCCTGCCCCTGCCACTGCCCCTGCACCTGCCCCTGCCCCTGCCCCTGCACCTGCCCCTGCGCCTGCACCTAGAGGTTTTGACCTGAACTTTGCAGAGGAGGCGGAGGAGGAAGAGGCAGAGTCTCCTCCTCGTCCTCCTCATCCTGCTGCTGTTGCCACTCCCGCCCCCACTTCCCCACCAGCATCACAGAGTCGTTTTTTGGACTTTGATTTGAATGATGGGCCAGGGTTTGGAGATGAGCCCTTGCCGCCGTCTCCCTCCCCTCCTCCTCAAGCAAATAGAGCAGCTGTAGCAGCAGGAGCGGCTGTAGCAGGTGGGGCAGGTGGGGCGGCTGGAGCAGGTGGAACTGGGCCAGCCGTCTCATTTCACCCCATGCACTCCGCCTCTCCTTTCTTGCATGCGCAAGCTCAGGCGCAGCAACAGCAGCAACACCAGCTGCAACAGCAGCGGCACCAACAACAGCAGCTGCAAAAACAACAGCAGCAGCTGCAACAACAACAGCAGCAGCAACAACAACAACAACACCAGCAGCAACAGCAGTGGCAACACCAGCAGCTACAGCAGCGGCAGCAACAGCAGCAGCAGCAACAACAGCAGCGGCAAGGGCAGCAGCAACAGCAACAACAGCAACAGCACCAGCAGTGGCAACAGGAACAGCAACACCAGGCACATCAGCAGCAGCAGCAGCAACAGCAGCAGCAGCAACCACAACATTCAGTGCAGCAATTACCCTCTCAGCTACAGTCCAGACCAGCAGGGGCAGCACCTACAGTAGGATCTTCAGTCAGTGGGAGCCTGCCACCTGGCAACATGCCGTTGCTGCCCCCCGGGCTGGCGTCTCACCCTCTGTTTGGCAAGCTGGCAGAGCAACTGCTGAGTCAGCAGGGGGTGAGTCAGCAGCAGCAGGTATTGGGCCAGCTGGCGTTTCTGCAGCAGGCTCTGCCACCTCAGCTGCAGATGCAGATGCAGCAGCAACTGCAGATGCTGCAGCAGAACCAGCAGCAGTTGCAGCAACAGCAGCATCGGCAGCTCCAGATGCAGCAGCAGCAGCAGCAGCCGCAGCAACAGGAGCAGCAGCAGCAGCAGCAACAGCAGCAACAGCAACAGCAGCAACAGCAGCAGCAATTATCGCAACAGGTCCCGTCACTACAGCAGTCACAACAGCTTCAACAGCAGCAGCACCAGCAACAACAACCATCACAACAGAATCAGCAGCAAAAACATCAGCAGCAGCCGCAACAGCCACAGCAGGAGCAGCATATTCCACCTCGTTTCTCCCAGCAGCAGATTCGCCCCACAGCAGGCTCAGCAGCAGCCGGCCTTGCAACATCTGTAGGCCACCACTCTCCTGCCCCTCTACCCCCATCCACACATCCAGCTGCATCACCAGCATCATCAGCAGCAGCACCACCAGCAATAGCACAGCCTTTCACGGCCTCTGCTCCGGCCCATGTCACTACAGCCACCGTCCCATCTCGTTTCAGCACAAGTGGCATTCCATCAAATTTCACCACTAGCAGCACTACCAGCAGCAGCATGGCATCCCATGCCACGAATCCCCGCCACCCCACCACACTCTCTCAATTCACGCACCTTCCACGGCCGTCCATGCTTCCTGCAGGAGGCCCGTTCCCCTCCTCCTCTGGTCCCCTCCCCAGCGGTGTGCTCTCTGCTCTTATGGCCGCCTCCTCCGCCTCTGCTGCTGCTGCTTCTCCTGCTTCTGCTGCTGCTGTTGCTGCTGCACCTGCTTCTGCTTCTGCTTCTGCTTCTGCCTCTGCTGCTGCCGCCCAGCCCTCTTCTGCTGCTCCTACGTCTGTGTCTCCCCTTTTATTCCCTCCCAGCACCAGCTCGCATCTTTCCACACCAGGATCATCCCCCTCTCCCTCCCTCTCTGCAGCTGTAGCAGCCGGTACAGCTGCAGCTGTAGCAACCAGTGCAACTGCAGCAGCAGGGGGGGCGACTCGGGTTGTAGCAGGAGGGGCGATAGGGACTGTAGCAGGAGGGGCGACAGGGACTGTAGCAGGAGGGGCGGCAGGGACTGTAGCAGGGAGAGCGGGTGGGCTGGCAGGGGTGGCGCTACCAGCCAGCCTAGCAGCAGCGGCTGTAGCAGCGAATCTGGCCCCTGGAGCCTCTTCAATCAGCCAGCTGTTGCAGAGACTGCCGGGCATGGCTGGAACAGCACCCGCTACAGCCGCTACAGCTGCTACAGCCGTTGCAGGTGCTACAGTTGGTGCTACTTCTGCTGCTAACGCTGCAGCTGCTGCTGTGCTTGGTTCTGGGGGGGTTCTGAGCGGCGTTAACATGGGTAGCTTAGGGATGAGTGGGCTTAATAGCATTGATAGCAGCGTAGGTAACAGCAGCAGCAGCAGCATGGGTGCTCTGAACAGTCTCAGTGCCCTCTTTGCCTCCTCCTCCCTCCCTACAGTCACCCAGCCTCCCGCGTCCCTCCTGGCCAAACTAGCCCATGCAGGCGTGCCGCTATCAGGTGTGCTACAAACGGGGCTCTCCCAGTCCGTCCTCGCCCAAACCAGCGTTCCTGTAACGAGCACCCCGTCAGCAGTAGGAGGAGGGGGACCAGGAGGAGGAGCAGGAGGAGGAGCAGGAGGAGGAGCAGGAGGAGGGGCAGGAGGAGGTGGAAGGAGCAGCCGAGGCGGAAATATTCCCCCTCTTACCGGCTCTCCTGCTCCCCTGCTCCCCTTTCGCCCGTCCTCTCGAGGGGCGGGCTTTAACCCAGCTGCAGCTGCAAGCTCAGGAGCAAACGCTGCGAGTGGTGGTCAGAACTTAACGAATGTGAGTATTGCTTTTGAGCCGACTCAAACCTCGGGCTTTAACTGCACTGCAGCTGCTTGCCCTGGAGCGAACGTTTCAATGGGAGTTCAGAATCTGACAAATGTGAGTGACAGTGCTGCTTCACTTCCTGCGGCATCTGCTGCTCATCCTGCCTCTTGCCCCTCCTCTCTTGCTGTGGCTGCTCACGCCTCATCTAGCTCTGCTGCCCCTGCCCGTGCCCCTGCCCGTGCCCCTGCCCGTGCCCCTGCCCCTGTCCCAGCCCTACACCCCCCCCCCTGCCCCTGCCCCTGCCTCTGTCCCTGCTCCTGCCCTTTTTTTGGCCTGAATTCCTGCGTTTGAAACACTTTGAAGGCTCATTGTCTCCCTTGATTCCTGCCCCACCCCACACACCCCACACGCCCTGCACTCCACCTGTCCCAGTCCCTGCAGGCTCTACTCCAGAAGCAGCACCTGCCAGTGCCAGGTGTCGCACAGCCATTCGCCGCCGTTGCTGCAGCAGCTGCCGCCGCTGCCGCCACTGCCGGTGGTGGTTCTGGTGGTGCTGGTGGTGGTGGTGCTGCTGTCGCTACTGCTGCTGGTGGTGGTAGCAAGGGCAGCAGTGCTGCCACTGCTGCTGCTGCAGCGGCAACACCTATGGGTCCGATGAACGAGCCTAGCAGGCCACAGTCGCCGTGGGCTCAGGGAAAGTTTGTGCAGCAGCAACGCCCAGCCCAGCAGCAGCAGCAGCAGCAGCAAGCTCCGCAGCAACAGCAGCAACAGCAGCAACAGCAGCAGCAGCAGCAACAGCAGCAACAGCAGCAGCAACAGCAACAGCAGCAACAGCAGCAACAGCAGCAGGGGAAGTTTGTGCAGCAGCAACGCCCAGCCCAGCAGCAGCAGCAGCAGCAAGCTCCGCAGCAACAGCAGCAGCAGCAGCAACAGCAGCAACAGCAGCAGCAGCAGCAACAGCAGCAGCAGCAACAGCAGCAACAGCAGCAGCAGCAGCAACAGCAGCAGCAGCAACAGCAGCAACAGCAGCAGCAGCAGCAGCAACAGCAGCAGCAGCAACAGCAGCAACAGCAGCAGCAGCAACAGCAGCAACAGCAGCAACAGCAGCAACAGCAGCAACAGCAGCAACAGCAGCAACAGCAGCAACAGCAGCAACAGCAGCAGGGGAAGTTTGCGCAGCAGCCTCAGCAGCAGCAAGCTCCGCAGCTCTCTGCTGCCTTCCCCATCCCCCGCCGTGGATCAAACCCTTCCCTCTCCGCCCACCCCTCCGCCCACCCCTCCGCCCACCCCTCCCTGCCAAGAACCCCTCTCTCCCGCCCCGCCTCTGGCCTCGACCTCCATACCCCCCCTCTCCCCTCCTCTCTCCTGTCCATTCCCTCTCTTCCGTCTCTCCCCTCTATCCCCTCTCTTCCCTCGTTTGTGTCACGGCATGATATGAATCAGCCCCCTCCTGGTGCCCCGGGCATGCCTCCTGTTACTGTCACATCCTCTCTTGCTGCTCCCTCTACTATTCCTGGTGTTCCTTCTTCTGCTGCTGCTCCTCCTATTGCTGCTTCTCCTTCTATTCCTGCCGCCCCTGTTTCTGCTGCTGCTGCAGTCGCAGTGGCAGTGGCAGCTAAACCCGCCTCCTTAATCGCCGATCTAAATCAGGAACAGATAGCACCTCCCCCAGTCAACACCCCGCCAAATGCCTCTCCGAAAGCGCAGGAAAAGTCGGAGAGAGGGGGCGGTGGTGGGGACTCAGGAGGAGGAGGAGGAGGAGGAGGAGGAGGAGGAGGAGGAGGAGGAGGAGGAGGAGGAGGAGGAGGAGGAGGAGGAGGAGGAGGAGGAGGAGGAGGAGGAGGAGGAGGAGGAGGAGGAGGAGGAGGAGGAGGAGGGGGACGGGGATGGCTAGATTTGGATTTAAATGCTGGCCCGGAGGCAGGGGGGGAGGAGGAGGTGGAGGGGGAAGAACGTGGGGAGATGGGGGAAAAGGAAGAGGTCGGGGGAAAGGGAGAGGTTGGGGGAAAGGGAGAGGTGGGGGGGAAGGGAGAGGCGGAGGGGAAGTGGGAGTTTGGGGGAAAAGGGGAAACAGGAGGAAGAGCGGAGGTGGGGGGAGGCGAGAAGGAGGTGGGGAGGGAGCGACAGCAGCAGGTTGAAATTCTGCAAGGGTCTTTGGCAGAGGGGAGTGGGAAAGTAGCACCAGCAGCAAGAGAAGATGCGGTTTTGGTTGGTGGGGTGGGTGAAGGAAGGAGTGAAGAAGGGTTGAACAGAGTTCCTGCCACCGGGCCTGCTGCTGCTGGATCAGCTACAGCTGCCGGTAAACCTCTAGGTACTGTTACTGCTACAGCTACGGCTATTGCTTCTGGTATAGCTGCTGCTGCTGCTGCTGCTGTTGCGACAGCCACAACTACAGTGGCTGAGGCTGGTGGTTCTTCTGTTGCTGTCGCTCCTGTGTTCTCCCCTGCCTGTGCTCCATCAGCTGCTGCTACCGCTGGGCCAAAACCGCCCCTGCTTGTAGCAGAGGGTGTAGCTGCAGCAACTGCAGCAGCAGCAGCAGCAGGTGTAGCAGCAGGGGCAGCAGCAACCGCGGGGTCAGGGAGTGCGGTAGTGGCATCTGGGGTTATAGCAGGGAGGGAAGCAGGAGGTGTGTTGATCAATCCTGTGAAGGCAGGAGTTGGGGTAGAGACAGGAGTAGCGGCAGGTGCAGGGGCAACGAAAACAGAGGCAGCAGGGGCAGGGGCAGCAGGGGAAGGAGTTGGGGTAGAGGAAGGGAAAGGGGCAGGGGCAGGGGCAGCAGGGGAAGGAGTTGGGGTAGAGGAAGGGAAAGGGGCAGGGGCAGGGGCAGCAGGGGCAGGGGAGGCAGGGGCAGGAGCAGCAGGGGCAGGAGCAGCAGGGACAGGAGTTGGGGCAGGAGCAAAAGAAGGGGCAGGGGCAGGGGCAGGAAGTGAGAAGGAGGGGCAGGCGCAGGGGCAAGAGCAGGTCGCTAAAGCGGGGCTTGTGGGGAGTGGTGCTGCTGAGAGAGGAGGCGGTTCTGTGGGAAACACACCGGTGCAGCCGGAGCAGAAGGAGCTTCACAAGCAGTTGGAGCAGGCGGCAGTTAATGTCACAGCTGGTTTGGAAGCCACTGTAGCAGCAGTGCTGCATACGGTGACACCTCAGGTTAACCCTCAGGTTACCACTCAGGTTAGCCCTCCAATTGTCTCTCAGGTTGCCCCTCAGGTTGTGTCTCAGTTGGATCCACAGTTATCCCAGGAGCAGGTGGAAGCTGCAGGCGTGGGGGGGCGCAAGAGAAAGGCGCCTGAGGATGGGTTAGAGGAGGGAGTGGTTGCTCCTCAGGTTGTTTCTCAGGTGGGTCCTCAGGCAGCTCAGGAGCAGGTGGGGACTGCGGGCGAGGGGGGGCGCAAGAGAAAGGCTCCTGAGGATGGATTGGAGGAGGGAGTGGTTGCGAAGAGGAGGGAAGAGGAGAGAGGGGAACAGAAAAAGAAAGAGGAGGAAAGGGAGGGGGAGAAGGAGAAGGAGAAGGAGGAGGAGGAGGAGGAGGAGGAGGAGGATAAGGAGAGGGAGAGGGTTAAAGAGGTGATGGAGATTGAGTTGTCAAATAGGCCACTGCCAGTAGCACAGGCGTCTCAGGCTGTAGCACAGCAGGCTGTTGCAGGGGAGGCTGTAGCACCACTGGTTTTAGCAGAGGAGGCTGGAGCACCACAGGCTGTAGCACCACAGGCTGTAGCGCCACAGATTGTAGCACCAGGGGCTGTAGCACAGCAGACTGCAGCACAGCAGACTGTAGCACCACGGGTTGTAGCAGAAGAGGTTGTAGCACCACAGACTGTAGCACAACAGGCTGCACAGCAGGCTGTAGCACCATGGGCTGTAGCATCGCAGACTGTAGCACATCAAACTGTAGCACCACAGGCAGCACAGCAGGCTGTAGCACATCAGGCACCACGTGCAGCACAGCAGGCTGTAGCACATCAAGCACCACAGGCTGTAGCACAGGGGGCTGTGGCTCAGCAGACTGTAGCACCACTGGCTGTAGCAGAGGAGGCTGTAGCACCACAGGTTGGAACACCACAGGCCGTAGCAAAGGAGATTGTAGCAGAAACGACTGGAGAGGGGGTTGTAGCAGAGAAGGTTGTTGAGGGGCCTAAGGTTGCAGAGGGGGCTGTAGCAGAGAAAGCTGTTGAAAAGGTTGTAGCAGAGAAGGCTACAGAGGAAGTGAAAATGTCAGGACAGAAGCGGGCATGGCTAGATCTGGAGGAACCGGCTAAGGGGTTGGAGGAACCGGCTAGGGGGTTGGAAGAACCGGCTAAGGGGTTGGAGGAACCGGCTAGGGGGTTGGAAGAACCGGCTAAGGGGTTGGAGGAACCGGGTAAGGGGTTGGAGGAACCGGGTAAGGGGTTGGAGGAACCGGCTAAGGGGTTGGAGGAACCGGGTAAGGGGTTGGAGGAGGAATGCGGAAGGGATGGGGGAGGGAAGGGGAATGGAGGGAAGGAGAAAGTGGATAAAGAGGAGGAGAGTGGAGGGAAGAAAGAGAGAGAAGGGAAGGAAGAGCGGAGAGAGCAGGAGATAGCAGGGAAGGAAGAGAAGGAGGCATCAGGTAAAGAGGCAGTAGTGAAGGAAGAGAGGGGAGAGAAGGAGGATATGGGAGGGAAGGATGAGAGAGGAGACAAGGAGGAAAAGAGAGGAAAGGAAGAGAGGAGAGAGATGGAGGAGAGGGGAGGGAAGGAGGAGAAAGGAGGGAAGGAAGTGAGGGGAGAGAAGGAGACAGTGGGGAACGAGATAATAGTAGGGAAGGAAGATAAGGGAGAGAAGGAGGAGAGGGAAGGGAAGGAGGGGAGTGGAGGGAAGGAAGTGAGGGGAGAGAAGGAGACAGTGGGGAACGAGATAATAGTAGGGAAGGAAGAGACGGGAGAGAAGGAGGAGAGGGAAGGGCAGGAGGAGAGTGGAGAGAAGGAGAGGGGTGTAAAGGATGAGACATTAGGTAAGGAGGAAAGGGGAGGGAAGGAGACAGCAGGGAAGAAGGGAGTTAAGGAGGTAACAGTAGGGAAGGAAGAGAGGGGAGGGAATGAGGAGAGGGGAGTGCGGAGAGTAGGCGTGAGTATGGAGGGAGAAGGGAAGGGAGAAGGGAAGGGAGAAGGGAAGGAAGAAGGGAAGGGAGAAGGGAAGGGAGAAGGGAAGGGAGAAGGGAAGGGAGAAGGGAAGGGAGAAGGGAAGGGAGAAGGGAAGGGAGAAGGTGGAATGACTGAGATGGTGGGTGGGGTCAAGGAGAGGGGAGAGGGGAGTGAAGAAGAGAAGATTAAGGAGGAGGGCGAGAATGGGAAGAGGAAAGAGGGGGAAGAAGGTGGGGAGAAGGAAGAGGGAGAGAGGGGGAAAAGGAGAGAGGCGGAAGAGAGCGGATCAAGGAAAGAGGAGGGAGAGGGTACTGGGGAGGCTTGTCAGGTTGAGAGGGTGGTATTGGGGGCAGAGAAAGAGGAGGTGGGTGGCGCAAGGTTAGGAGGGGAGAAGGAGCAGGAGGGTGGGGAGACGGCAGGCAGTGATGCAGGGAAAGAGTTTGTTACGGGTTTGGTGCAGAGGACTGGTTTGGATTTTTCAGTGGTGTGTAGCACAGAGGTTCTTGTGGGGGGAAATGCAGGCAAGGTAGAAGCAGGGAAGGTGGGAACAGGTGAGGAGAATACAGGACAGGCGAAATCTGGGGAGGCGAGAGCAGGGGAGGAGGAGATGGGGGAGGAGGAGATGGGGGAGGAGAAATTAGGGGAGAAGAGATCAGAGAAGAAGGAAGGGAAGGCGAACACAGGGGAGGAGAAGGAAAGGGTATTACCTGAGGGAATAGTTGGAGTGCCGGCAGAGAGAACAGAGATTGAGAAGTTACCAGGGAAGGACGGTGATGCAGGGAAGGAAGAGGAAGGGGAGGAAGGAAACAAAGTGGAGGAGGGGAGGAAGGGAGAGGGAGAAAAGGAGGAGGTGAAGGAGGAAAGTAAGGGGGAGGGAGAAAAGGAGGAGGTGAAGGAGGGATGCAAGGGAGAGGAACAAAAGGAGGAAGTGGAGGAAGCAAGGAAAGGAGAGGGACAAAAGGAGGTGGAGGAGGGAAGGAAAGGGGAGGGAGAAACGGAGGTGGAGAAAGGGAGGAAAGGATGGGGACAAAAGGAGGTGGAAGGAGGAGAGAAGACAGCAGAGGTGGAGGGTGGCAAGGAACAGCGACGGTTGATAGAGATGGGTGCAGGTCTTGGCGCTGCTGTTCCTCTTGTTGCCCTTGCTCCTCCTGCTGCTGCTCCTCTTGCTGCTCCCCCTGCTGCTCCTCCTGCTGCTGCTGCTCTTCCTCCTGCTGCTGCTGCTCTTCCTCCTGCTGCTGCTGCTCTTCCTCCTGCTCCTGCTGCTGCTCCTCCGGCTGCTCCTCCGGCTGCTCCTGCTCCTTCTCCTGAAGTTGCTGCTCTTGCTCCTGCTGCTGCTGCTGCTTCTGCTTCTGCTGCTGCGTCTTCTCCTGCTTCTATTTCTGCCCCTGTTGCTGTCTCTAATTCTGCCTCTGCTGCTCCCGCTGCTGTTTCTGCTGCTGCTGCTGTTTCTGCTCCTCATGCTGCTCCTGCTGCTGCTCCTGCTCCTGCTATTCCTCCTCCTCCTCCTGCTGCTGCTGCTGCTGCTGCTTCCACTTCTGCTACTGCTGCTGTTTCTGTTCTTCCTGCCCTTTCTGCTCCTGCTGTTTCTGCTCCTTCCGCTGCTTCTGCTCTTTCTGCTCCTGCTGCTGCGAATGTGGTTGGAGGTGCAAAGGGAGAAGAAGGGAAGGAGGGCGCAAAAAAGCCTGACCCAGAACATGCGGGGTTATCTGAAAAGGAGGGTACAGCACAGCTGGGCTCAGAACAGGCTGGTTCTTTTGAAAAAGAGCCTGCTGCAAACAAGATGGCTGCAGCAGTGAGAGTGAGTGAAGTTGCGAAGATGGTTGGAGGTGAGAGGAGAGAAGCAACAGAGGAAAGTGCGAAACGGCCTGACCCAGAACAGGCGGGCTCATCAGTGGAAGAGTGTGCAGATAGAAAGGTGGTTGCAGCAGTGCGAGAAGGTGGAACAGAAGCAGCAGCAGGAGGTGCGAACGTGGTTGGAGGTGCGAGGATGGATGGAGGCGAGAAGGGAGAAGAAGGGAAGGAAGGTGCGAAACAGCCTGACCCAGAACAGGCGGGCTCATCAGTGGAAGAGTGTGTAGGTGGGAAGGTGGTTGTAGTAGTGCGATTAGGTGGAGATGAGAAAGTGGTTGGACCAGAGAAGGTGGTTGAGGTTGTGAAGGGAGAAGCAGTAGGGAAGGAATGTGCGGAACAACTGGAATCAGAACAGGCAAGTTTATCTACAGTGGGGAAGGTGGTGGCATCTGATGTGGTGAATGAAGCTGTGAAGGAGGCTGAAGGTGCGAAGGGAGAAGCAGGGAAGGAGGGTGTGACGCAACTGGCCTCAACACTGGCAGGTTCATCTGAAAAGGAGCATGCAGCTGCAAAGGTGGTGGCATCTGATGTGGTGATCGGAGCTGTGAAAGAGGCTGGAGGTGCAAAGGGAGAAGCAGGGAAGGGGGAGGGTGCTTCTAAGCTGGGCTCCAAACAGGCAGGTTCACCTAATAAGGAGCATGCAGCTGGAAAGGTGGTTGCAGCAGTGCAGGGTGGAACAGAAACAGCAGCAGGAGGTGCGACAATGGTTGGAGGTGAAAAGGAAGAAGCTGGGAAGGAAGGGCCGTCACAACTGGGCGCAGAACAGGCGGGTTCATCTGGGAAAAGGTCAACAGGTGGGGAGGCGATTGTTATGGTCAGAGGAGGAGGAGCTGAGGAGGTTGCTGGAGGTGTGGAGGAGGGTGCATCTGAGAAAGCACCTGAAAAAGCACCTGAAGGAGCACCTGGAGTTGGGAGGGAAGATGCAGCTGGTATGGAGAAGGTTTCTGGACAGGCACCTGAAAAGGCACCTGCACCTGAGGAACGACCTGAGCCTGAGACTCAGTCAGTGCCTGGAAAGCAGCTGGTGCAGGACAAAGAAGCTCAGTCCTCATGCGCATCTGCTCCTGAGAAAACACCTGAAGCCGACGAGGGTAAGGCACCTGATCTCGCAGCTGCAAGGGGGAAGGGGATTCGACCTGAAGAATCACCTGAGTCTGTGCAACCACCCGAACCTGTGGAGCAAGCTGAGCCTGTGAAGGCACCTCAGGAGAAGGCACCTGAGGAAAAGGCACCTGAGGAAAAGGCACCTGAGGAAAAGGCACCTGAGGAAAAGGCACCTGAGGAGAAAGCACCTGAGGTGAAAGCACCTGAGGAGAAAACACCTGAGGCGAAATCACCTGAGGAGAAAGCACCTGAGGGGAAGACACCTGAGGAAAAGACACCTGAGGAAAAGACACCTGTGGAGAAGACACCTGAGGGGAAGGCACCTGAGGAGAAGGCATCTGAGGGGAAGACACCTGAGGAGAAGGCACCTGAGGAAAAGACACCTGTGGAGAAGACACCTGAGGGGAAGGCACCTGAGGAGAAGGCATCTGAGGGGAAGTCACCTGAGGAGAAAGCACCTGAGGAGAAGGCACCTGAAGAAAAGGCACCTGAAGAAAAGGCACCTGAAGAAAAGGCACCTGAAGAAAAGGCACCTGAGGAGAAGGCACCTGAGGAGAAGGAACCTGAGGAGAAGGAACCTGAAGAAAAGGCACCTGAAGAAAAGGCCCCTGAGGAGGTACCTGAAGAAAAGGCACCTGAGGAGAAGTAGCATCTGTGATCGCCAGAGGTGTGGAGAGGGAGAGCAGCAGTTACAGCACAAGTTAGCAAAGGTAGAGCAAGGAAGGGTTACGTCGAGTCGAGGAGAAAGGCACTGTGGTGCATGCAGGCACCGGCCAGGTCACACATGCGCACAGCCCCACACAGCCTCTCATACAGCGTTGCTAGTCACAGCTGGATAGGAACGTTGTTACCACTAGCAGTCAAGCTATCCACAGTAGTACTAGTAGTAGAGCGATCTGCTGTTGAGAGCTGCCATCGCATCCACCTATACAGGTACACCACGGGACAGGTTTCAGCTGCTTATAGCTATTAATTGGCAGCGCCAGTAATGTTACAGGTTATGCTAGAGATGCCTCTGATAGCACTTCTGCTTGGCTTCTTTTCTTCTCTGTTTGTTAGTTTTTTTTTTTACTGGCAGCTTCTGGCTGCTTGGTTTTAGAGCTCAGCTGCTCATGCCCCTGACATAGACGTATATAAAAAAAAAAATAGATTGACTGCTAGTGATTCGGTTGACCTGGTATTTGTAAGATATGTGTTGCAAATAGCCATTGATTTTTGTTTCTTTCTACCTATAGATGTCTGATGTAGAACTCTACCTGTTCCTTTTACCAAATGCACTCTTGGTTGTGCCTTTATGGAGTTACAAATTCAGATGCCTTAGGTTTGGTGGAGATCGTTGTAAGGAAAAATCCTTTTCCTTACTTCGCGTCCCTGCTCAGCGCGTACAACACTGACAGCACCCCACAATATTCCGTTCCCACTCGCGACATTCGCCTCGACAACATTCCCGCCACTGTTCACGATGCGACCCAACCTCACGGTTCGGCTGGTGACCCGAGCTCCGGACCTCCGCCTCGACAGTTCCCCAAACCTCGGCACTAGGCCCGTCGCGCACCCCATTTTCCCACGTTACCGTTACCACCATAGTTTCGCTATATATTCTTCGCTCATTCCTTCGCTCATTGTCTTCTTGGCTCGATAGTGCAATCCTCGCTCGCTCACTCACTTGCAGTCGTAACACTTGGTTATCAGAGCCTACGATCTTCTCTCGGACCGCACCCACACCTTCGCTTCCCTACTATCAAAATTTGGGGGGGGGGGGGGGGGGGGGGGGGTAGACGTCTCTCAGCGATCAAGCACCGCCGCTCGTAGTGCTCTCTCGTAAGCACGCACGGCCACGACAGAGCGTATCGAGCCGATCGCGGCTTCGATTTCGGCGCGTCAGAAGCTGCGCACTTGGCGGCAGCTCGGGTCGGTTCAAGATTACACTAGCGGCTTTCTCGCACTATGCGAACAAGTCGGCTATATGCACGAAGCGGAGCGGGTGGACCGTTACGTCGGAGGGCTAAAGCCGGACATATCGCACGAACTTATGCTACGCGGGCTCTCGAATTTCAACGAGATCCTCGCGCTCGCCGAGAAAATCGACATCCTACGACGACCGAGACCGGGGTCCTACTACGGACAACGTCCTCGGGGACCGATCGAGCACGCCACCGTACACGCCGTTGCGACGAATGCAGCTGCCGCACCATTTAAGGGGCGCTGCTTTGCTTGCAATAGGCCGGGCCATCGCAAGAGTGAATGCCCAGAGGAGCTAAGGCGCCGCGGAACAGAGCAGGGGCGAGAGTCTCAGAGGCCGGGAAACGCCAACAGTCAGTAGAAGTTGGGCCAACTACTGACGAGACTGCCTGCTCGCCCAACTTCACCGACCCTCACCGAGTCACAGTACCGGTTCACGCTATCGATCGGGCTCGGACGAATAAGGAGGGTACAGCGACGTATTGCCGAGTACTGATTCACGGGAAAATACAGGGAGCAGCAGTGAAGATTTTTATAGACGGAGGTGCAAGTCACAGCTTAGTTAATACCGCGACTGCAAGGAAGTTGCAACTGACACTTAGTCGGTGCTTACCAGAGATCGACGCACGTTTAGTTGACGGAACGCCGCTGGCCATACGGGAGAAAGTGGAAAGAGTATAAGTCCGCTGTGGGGAGAATTTCGGTTTTACACAGGAAATACTCGCGACGACATTGGATGGGCACGACATTTTACTGGGACGTGATTGGCTGCGACGATACAACCCGCGAATCGTCTGGACGACAGGCAGCTGCACTGTGCGAAGTCGCGGTAACTGGGTGGAGCTACCTCGCTGGCAGTCGCCTGAGTCGTCAACGGTCCACGTCAACGCCATCACGATGAAACGGGATGTCGCCGCTGGAGCTGACGTGTACGCGGTGGATATCGCGATGGTGGAAGAAGCGGGCAAACCAAAGGATTTTCAGAAAATACTGGAAGCAGTACCATCGGAACTACAAGACCTGTTGAAATGATTCCCGGGGATCTTCCCTGATGACTTACCCGAGGGACTGCCACCTCAGCGGGCGCACGATCACCGAATAGAATTAGAGCCCGGGGCACAGCCAACCATACAGCGACAGTTCAGACTGACACAGCCCGAGCTCGACGAATTAAGGAAGCAGTTAGATTACTTGTTAGAGAAAAAATTCATCCGACCGAGCTCGTCCCCATTCGCCGCACCGATCCTGTTCACACCGAAGAAGGACGGCAGTTTTCGCATGTGTATCGACTACTGAGCACTGAACAGGGTTACAGTTAAATCGCGATACCCCATTCCCCGCGCTGACGAACTGATAGATCAACTACGAACAGCACGAGTCTTTTCGAAAATTGACTTACAAGGAGGTTACCACAAGATTAGGGTCGAACCGTCGGACTGCGCCAAGACAGCTTTTAGGACTAGGTACGGGTCGTTCGAATACACGGTGATGCCTTTCGGACTGACCAACGCACCGGCGACTTTCCAGATGGCGATGAACGAGGCGTTTAGGCCGCTCTTAGATAAATGCGTAATCATCTACCTCGACGACATCCTAGTCTACAGTCGGGATAAGCAGCAGCACTTAGAAGATTTAAAAGCAGTATTTACAGTTCTAGACAAACATAGACTACTGACAAAGGGTTCCAAGTGCGAGTTTTTTCAGGATAGGCTAGAGTTTTTGGGGCACGTTATTTCGGAGGCTGGCGTCGAAATCGACCCGAAGAAATTGGACACGGTAAAAGCGTGGCACCCCCCGACGAACATCACGGAACTGCAGAGTTTTTTTGGGTTTTGTTAATTATGTGCACTGGTTCGTCCCCGACATGGCACGTTTAACGGCCCCGCTAACGGATTTGCTGCGGAAGCGGGTCACTTTTACGTGGGGGGAGAAAGAGCATGCTGCCTTCTCCACCCTAAAAAATGTTCTATGTTCACCGCCCGTACTGCGCATCGCCGACCCACACCGCCCATTCGAAGTGGTTACGGACGCAAGCGATATCGCCATTGGAGCCGTACTGTTACAGGACTTCGGCAACGGGTTACAGCCCATCGCCTACGAATCACGAAAGCTGCATCCGCTTGAGAAGAATTATCCGATACACGATCGCGAAATGCTTGCGATCGTGCACGCGTTCAAAGTGTGGCACTGTTACTTGACCGGTGCCGACGTGACAGTACGGACAGATCACAAGTCACTACAGTACCTCCGTGCACAATCTCACCTCAACCCACGACAAATCCGCTGGCTCGATTACCTCGAGTCGAATTTTCACTATACGGTCACCTACAAAAAAGGGGCATCGAACATCGCCGACGCATTAACCCGACCCACAGCCCAAGTTCACGCCATACTACTCGCCCAGACCAGCCCACTGTTAACAGGCCTATTCACCCACGGCTACCAGACTGATCCATTTTTTACAGGCGGAAACTCGCAGCAGTTTGCAGCAGCAAGAGGAGTCTATTACGTAAAAGCCGGCACTGACCGCATCTGGGTACCGGGCTACACACTTCTACGGGAATTACTGTTGCAAGAGGCACACGACGGAGTTACCTCAGGGCATTTCGGAGTAGACAAAACACGGCAGCAGCTGCAGCGGTACTACTACTGGCCCGAAATGTTGACCGACGTGCAACGACACGTGGCATCGTGTCCCACCTGCCAGGTCATGAAATCATCACGGAAGCGGACGGCAGGACAGTTGCAGCCGATACCACCCCCAGAGCGTGCTTGGCAGCAGGTGACGATGGACTTCGTCACGGGGTTACCGGCGGGTGCAAGTGGGAACGACGCGATCCTGGTCATCGTCGACCGGTTAACGAAAATGGCACATTTCGCAGCCTGCAAGAAATCGATCACAGCCGAAGAAACGGCCCGCCTCTTCATCGCAACCATTGTTCGACTACACGGGATACCAGCGGCGATAATCAGCGACCGCGATACGAAATTTACCAGCAATTTCTGGCGGAACCTGTGGCAGCAGTTCGGCACGAGGCTGCAGTTCAGTTCTTCGTACCACCCCGAAACCGACGGACAGGCATAACGGACAAACCAGACCATGGAACAGTTAATCCGAGCCACGTGCGACGACCCCACCACCTGGGAACAGCAACTGCCACTAATCGAACTCGCGTACAACAACTCACCATCCGCCACGACCCAACAGTCACCATTTTACCTAAACCACGGACAAGACCCTACAGTACCCATGACCCCGAATCCCGACAACCCGGTGCCACGAGCGCAACAATTCGTAGAAATCCTACAGGAAGCACGGACTAGGGCAGCAGACGCAATTAAAAAAGCCAATGTTATCGCTAAGCGCAACGCCGACCGCCACCGCAGACCCGTCACTTACCAACCCGACGACTTAGTTCTACTCGACACCCAAAACCTCCGCCCAGGGCTGACGTTTCAAATTTAGGTACCCTGATTTCAACCTAAAAAAAAAAAAAAAACCCTGAAGGCACATTTTCCAGAAAAACAGCACCCTGATTGCTCAGGGTTGAGAAGTAGTGAACTCTGAATGTTCAGGGTCGAGAATTGAAAATCAGGGTCGTAGTAACGCGCTCTTTCTTTACTGAGGACAGAAGTCTCACTCATTGTGGCGATGTGACTGGCACTGTGGCGATGTGACTGGCGCTGTGTTAGAGCACATCTATTTCGACCAATAACAGCAACCTAAAATCTGACATTACAGATTCGCCCGATCTAGATGGTGGGTGTATGGGAACGAAACTTCGAAGAAACTTCGTCTCGATAAAGCGAGGGGCGGCGGGGGGGGGGGGGGGGGGGGGGGGGGGGGGGGAGGAGGATTACGCACGTGGGGGGCACTGAAATCAATGCGAAGGGGTTATCAGGAGGAAATTTCCGAGAAACTTCGCCCCGATAACATCGCATTCAGGGTCCACAGGCCTCGTACTCTGTATTGACAGGGTCCGTGAAAACCCTACACTGAGAGTGTACACAAAATTTCAGGGTCCGCTAAAGCAATACTCTGAATGGATCAGGGACCAAAATGTGAAAAACCTGATTTCTCAGGGTCCAGAAAGTGACAAGTCTGAAATCACCCTGAAATCAGGGTAATTACCCTGATAAAATCAGCCCTGCCTCCGCCTGCCCAAACTCCGAAACTTCGCCCCCGATATTGCGGGCCATTCCGCATCAGCCACATGGTCACACCGGTCACCGCCCACCTCCTCCTCCCCGCTGACTGGTACGTCAGCCCCTCCTTCCACGTCAGCCTGCTTCGCCCCTACATCCCATCCACCAGCCAACTGGCCCGACATCGCCCAGCCAGCATGACCCGACCACCGACCGAGCCAGTCATCACGCCCGAAAAGATTCTGAGCCACCGAGTTCGTGACCCACGAGGAGCCCGAAGGGTCGAATTTTTAATACGCTGGAAAGACCGCACGCCCACCGAGGACAACTGGGTCCCCCTGGACAAAATCGAAAACCAACCCGTCCTCAACGGGTACTTGCGCAGCAGAAATTTCCGGGATATATACGCGCTCTCGTAAGAGAGGCCTCCTTGAGGGAGGGGGTAGTGTAAGGAAAATTCCTTTTCCTTCGCATCCCTGCTCAGCGCGTACAACACTGACAGCACCCCACAATATTCCGTTCCCACTCGCGACATTCGCCTCGACAACATTCCCGCCATTGTTCACGATGCGACCCAACCTCACGGTTCGGCTGGTAACCCGCGCTCCGGACCTCCGCCTCGACAGTTCCCCAAACCTCGGCACTAGGCCCGTCGCGCACCCCATTTTCCCACGTTACCATTACCACCATAGTTTCGCTATATATTCTTCGCTCATTCCTTCGCTCATTGTCTTCTTGGCTCGATAGTGCAATCCTCGCTCGCTCACTCACTTGCACTCGTAACAATCGTCAATTCTCCACTGATCCACGGGAGGGGACGCATCCTTAGCATCTTTCATATGGTCAACACAGCGCCGTCTACAGTATATGCAGTACTACTATACTTCTCCCTGAATTTGTCTGCTTGTTTTTCCACTGAATCACAGCGGCCGTTTGGAGGGCATTCCTGGTCGCCTTGGGTACTTGGAAGCAGTTGGCTCGAGCTTCTTCTTAACGACAGCTGCGCGCTGGCTTGCAGGTAAGCATACGGTATTCAAGTAGCATGAAGCTGTTTTCACAATGAAATGGACTAATCGTTTCATTCAATGACTCTGAATCAGAGCGGCCGTTTGGAGGGCATTCCAGGTCGCCTTGGGTACTTGGAAGCAGTTGGGTCAAGCTTCTTGTAAATGACTGCTGTGCGCTGGCCGTTGGTGTTCGAAGATGCAACTGTGGTGGGGTGAGGGACAGGGAGGGGAGGAGAGCAATGAGTGCACTGGCATGCCTTTCAGTGTTAGGATTCTCTCGGTTGAACCTTCTTGTAAATGACTGCTGTGCGCTGGCCGTTGGAATTTGATGATGCAACTGTGGTGGGTGAGGGACAGGGAGGGGAGAGGAGCCTGTGAGTGCTTGGAAGCAGTTGGGTCAAGCTTCTTGTAGATGACTGCTGTACGTTGGCCGTTGGTGTTTGACGATGCAACTGTGGTGGGGTGAGGGGGAGGGAAGAGAGGGGAGGGGAGGGGAGGAGAGCAATGGGCACATTGGTAGGCCTTTCAGGCCTTGAAGAGGAAGCTGTTGGGTCAACCTTCTTGTAATTGACTGCTGTGCGCTGTCCGTTGGTGTCTGACGATGCAATTGCGGTGGTAGGAAGCTTCTAAGAATTCCCAAAAGATAAGTGCGAGGGACCATGTGGTAAGAAGTAAGTACCCACCCTCATAGATTCAAGCGAGTTGAGCACTGAGCAGGGGAGCTCTTAGAAGTTTTCAAAACCCAAGTGTGAAAGAGGTTAGCACGTGGTAAGTAATAAGAACCGACCTTCATAGGTTCGAGCAAGTTGTGCACCAAGCAGGGAAGCAGAGTTGGATGCTGCTGCGACCTCATCCTGTCAGGGGCACAGAGGAAAGCACAGGGGCACCTGAATTCATATCACCTCCCAGCAGCACCTGAAACGCCATCTGAAGACGAACCTGAGGGCTGGCCCCCACGGTATCTAATCACCTGAAGGGCACCTGAGGGCTAACCTGAGGGCTGGATCCTTTCCTATCCAGGCACCTGAAGCGGCACCTGAGAACTAACCTGAGGGTTGGGCCCCTTAGCAGCTACGAAGGCACCTCCCACTCGAACCAGAGGCAGACACAATTCATCTGAAAATAGGGGTACGGGGAACAGGAACCAAGGTGCCAGGTGTCTTTTCAGGTGAAATCAACAGAGAAGCTGACTGCTGAGGGCACCCTCTTGACCCACCCCCTTCTTGACTCACTGAGTACCCTCATCTCCGCTACAGCCCCCACTACAGCCCGTGCTACAGCTCATGCTACAACCCATGCTACAGCCAATGCTACATGCTATGCTACAACCCACGCTACAGCAACTGTTGACTTACTGAGCACTCTCATCTCTGCTCTGCTACAGCCCCCCCTACAGCCTTTACTACAGCCCGTGCTACAGCCCGCGTCAGAGCCGCCGCTACAGCCCCTCTTAGTGCACGTTAGATCATTTCACTCACTGAGGACTCTCATCTCCGCCACAGCCCGCGCTACAGCCAGGTCGTAGGCCTCCCTGTGAACAGGGTCCCTCCCCACCTCCTGTAGAAGCATGGTGGGAAGAAGCGCTGGATGGGAATAAGATACAATCAAGAAGCTCAAAATAAAATAGAATGAACATTTTCTGTTCTCGAAAAAAAACAAAAACAAAAACAAACTTCCATCCCACACACCACTTGCACAGTATTCAGTCCCAACCGGCGCACCACATGCGAGAGGGAATCGCATCTCTTGTTTGAAGAATCCTCCAGAACCATGAGGGCTTTTTCTGAGGGCTACTGTGCTTTGTCGTTAACACACTCACCTCTGCCCCCCCACACACCACTTGCACGTTCCATAGGCCCAGCTCCCGCACCACATGCGAGAGGAAATAGCATCTCTTGTTCAGGGAATCCACCAGGGCGACCTGCCACGTGGGCTGTGCTGAGGGGATTATGCTGTGGTGTGACTTTAACTGCTAGGAACAGTGACCCCACTCACTCACCTCTGCTCTCCCACACACCACGTGGGCTGCGATGTGGGGGGCTGTGCTGTGGTGTGACTCTAACTGCTAGAAACAGTGCCCGCGCACACTCACTCACCTCTGCTCTCCCACACACCACTTGCACATTCTTGAGTCCCAATCGCTGCACCACATGCGAGAGGAAATCGCATCTCTTGTTCAGAGATTCCACCAGAGTCACGTGCCACGTGGGCTGGGCCACTGCTAGCACGATCCCTGGCAGCCCTGCTCCTGTGCCCACATCCACCAATCGCAGCGCGCCATGTGGCACGGCAGGGGAGGGTGCGACAGAGGGGGGGTCTAGAAGGGGCTCGGAAGCAGGAGGTGCGGTGGAGAGTGGTACGGAGGGGAGTGGTTCAGTGGGGATTGGTGCAGTAGCGAGTGGTTCGGTAGGGAGGGATGTGGTCGGATGGGGCGCGGTGGGGAGCAGTGCAGCAGCAAGTGGCACGGTTGAGAGCGGTGGTGCGGTGAGGGCCAGGATAACAGGGATGAGCGTTAGAGAATCGGCAATGTGGCGTTGCTCTGCTTCTGCGCGACTAGTGACTGCTGTCAGGTTCATGCGCTGCTAGGAGGGTGGAAAGTGTGTGTGTGTGGGGGGGGGGGTGGAGTGGGAAGGGAGAATGAGTGTTAGAGAGTCGGCAATGTGGCGTTGCTCTGCCTCTGCGCGACCAGAAACTGCTGTCAGGTTGATGCGCTGATGGGAGGAAGGGGGAGGGGGAAGACGGGGGGAGGGGGGAGAGAAGGTGGGCTAGGGGGATCGGGGAAAGAGAGGAGGGATATGTGCCGCTGCTGTGCCTTTGCGCGACTGGACGCTGCTGTCAGGTTCATGCGCTGATGGGGGGAGAGGAAGCGGGGGGGAAGGGGGGGGAAGAGGAGGGGGGAGAGATGGGGAGGGAGAATCAGGGGAAGGGAGTCAGCTATGTGCCGCTGCTGTGCCTTTGCGCGACTCGACACTGCCGTCAGGATCATGCGCTGATGGGGGGTGGGGAAAGGCGGGGATGGGGGAGCAGAGGAAGGGAAGAAGTGGAGGGGGAAAACACTCATTCCAGGTATGCACCCAAAACCCTACATCCGAAACCCTGAACCCGAGCTCTTAAAATCACCTGAGATCGAGTTTTGTTCAAATCACCTGAAAGACCACCTGGAAAATCACCTGGTTCCAGTCCAAAAGCAGGTCGAGGTAGAGCGCCAGGCGCTGCTGCTGCCTGGGAAGCAGGTGGGGGAGGGCGGGCGGCGGGGGGAGCACCAGGGGCAAGGGGGAAGAGAAGAGCGGGAATGGGGGCGAAGCGGGGGAGGCGGGAGGGGACTGTGGCGGAAAGGAGGCGGATTCAGAGGAGGGGGAGGTAGGTCTGGGGGAGGTGACTTCTGACTTCCGCCTGTTCTTGCTACTGATGCCTCGTCCTGTTCTGCTGTTCCTGCCGCTGCTGCTGTTACTGCTGCTGCTGTTGTTACCGCTGGTGTTACTCCTGCTACTAGCGGTGTTGCTGCTATGGCGGTTGCTGCTGCTGCTGCTCCCCGTTCTGCTACCGCCCGTGCTGCTGCTTCTGCGACTGCTATCGCTGCTGTTGCTGCTGATGTCGCTGCTAGCACTGCTGCTGCAAACCCTGACATTGCTCGTCACCACGCTTCCGCATTCCACGGCGTAATTCACGGCGAGTCGCGCGGCATGGCTTACAGCAGCTCGCGCATGGCAAGTCGCGAACGGTTTGTTTAGAACGAATGAGCTCATGACACGTGGTTTACGGAACGTTTAAAGTGGTGTTGGATGGGGTGCTTCTAGATTGTGACAACTAAGCATGCAGACGTGGAATCTCACACATTACTGGCTGAAAACATTGTCGTCCCCTTATTTGATCAGCTGTGCAGTGTAACCCGCCGTTTTTTCAGAGGTAATGCAATTTCTGGGGGCTGTTGCTAGGTGGTACTATCGAATATAAACAGCGCCAAAAGTAGCCCCTTTTTCCCATCTTACTGAAACGCGTTTAGCCTTGTTACAAAAGGATTTTCGCGAATAATCTTCGCATGAACCCAACCATACTGCGAAAGAGCGTGCTGTGCGAAGCAAACAATGAGCTAACACTTTTCGCGGAACCAGTCAGAATGGAGGGGGATGCAGTTTCGACACCTGTCGTACCAGGGCTGCCTTGATGTGGGAATAATGACGAAACATATGGTGTGTTACCTGATTTTCTATGTGTGTTTGCGTGCCAAATTGCAGGAAGTCGCGTGTAGGCTTTGGTTCCCGTGTCGCAAGCACACCAATGCGAACGTGACACGAAAGTTGGATGCGAAGCGGGCGAAAGAGAGGTTCCGTTCCGACCGATATTGAATGCAAAATTGCAGCGCGAGAGCAAAAAATCGCACCCACTTGTAAACTTGGGGGAACAGGAGGGTGATGCAAGGACGTGCGATTCTCGTTTCTCTCAACGGAGCCATAAAATCACCAAGCGCCATCGTTTTCTGGTCTCCTCTCAACGGCATTTCACGCTAGATTAGGCAGTGAGTGAGCGTCAATCCCAGATCAGGTGTTTGGTTGATAGTTCAACGGACCCTGAGAGATACGAAGGTTAGCTGAGGAACGGGGCGTTTTTATTGCTCAAGATGACCGAACAATGAGGCATAATATCAGTTACCGAACAAACGGGCTCCATTTTAGACGCGTAGGAAAACCAGCCCAAAGCACAACACAAAGCCCACCAGGAAAGCAGCGAACGGAACCAGCCGACCAATTAGCGACCAATTAGTGCAGTTCACCGAGAAGAGGAGAACGGACGCAGCCAACCGAGGGAAGAGCCGCAGCGAGGAGGAAGAGCAGAGCAGCCCACCGAAAGAGAAACGAGATCCAGCCCACCGGCAGAAGCAAAACGAGGAGACCAAGACAGTGACGTCATACAATACAACGAGTAGACCGGGCCGACGAGAACCATCCGATTTTAGCAGTCACTTTAGTCAATTCTACTCTGTGAGCGGCAGCGTCTTCCCGCTGAACGCGGAGAATCTGCAATCCGCAGCGAGGACGGACGAAGACTCGTAGTCCGCGGACTTGCCGTCCAGGAAGCCCGCGCCTTCCGCCGCGTCTGCCGCAACGGGGTGTCCGAGCGCGTGCGCGAGTGTGTTGTAGTCCATGGCGCGCTTCTCGCGGCCCTCGCGGTACGTCTACCCGATGATCCCGTGGACCTGCTCCGTCGCCTCCACGCCGTCGAACGCAACGTTGATGTGCGCCTCGGAGTCGTCAGGTGTTTGCAACAGAGGTTGCGCGACGCGCAGCTTGATCTCCATGTCCAGAAGCCCCGCAATAGTCACACGGTACACGTCCTTCACGAACCCGCCGAATTCGACCCCGACATAAGTGAAGGCGAGGCCTCTGGGGAGCGAGAGAGTCTCCCCTTCCTTGGTCATGCGCGGAAGGGCCTTCCCGTCGAACTCCGCCAGCTCCAGGAACCCGTCCCCGCGCTCCTGCTTCTTCCCCGCGCGCGCAACCAGGCGGAACTTGTGCTCTGCCTCCCCACCCGCCGCGCGCCACACGAACCCGAGCGCGCGGATCCACGTGCGCACAGCCTTCCCGTTGCGCAGGACCGTCGCGCCGACGGTGCGCGTGTAGTAGTATCCGCGCATCTGCATGTTCACGAGCACATTGCGATCCGTCAGCAGACAAAACGTCTTCTCCGGAGCGCCATTGAACTCGAAGCGCGTGCCTTGCGCGCCCTGGAAGTGCGGGTCGTTCTTGGTGTAGGGGCAGCTGCCGCCGATGCGCGAGCAGTTGTACTTGATACGGTAGCCGTTGTTGTTGTCCAGCTGAGTCTCGCACCGCGGCGCCGTGCCGGGCGGGTACAGCCAGCAGATGCCGCACTTAAGGCACTTGCCAGAGGGGTTCAGGGTTCTGCGCGAGGAAAAAACAGGAGATAATTAAGGAATTGCGAACGAGATAATGGGTAATACTTTCGGGTGGCGCGAAACAGTGCACACGACGGAGCACGAGAATTACGACCGCATCGAGGCCGATCCCGCATCCGTCGTAGTAACAGGCCGAGCCGCGGAAGAAACCCGCGAATTTACTAACCCAATGTAGTGCTGCCACATGGCACACGGCTCCTTGCTGTCGGAGCATGCCTTGCAGCACTGCGACGGCGTGAGCTCCCCGATGCACCACTCGTTGTTAGGCTTCGGGTTGGCGCGCCCCGGCGGGCACACGAGCGACGACTGTTCGGGGAGCTGCGCGGCACGGTGACGGTCAGAGGGCAGGCAAACACAACCGGAAATTGGGAGAATTTATATATTACCGTGACGCGAGAAACAAGACATTAAAAAACGAGCTGAGATGTGTGAAGAGAGCGGATCGACGGAATTGTAATACGCAAATCCGGATCGGAATTGGCAAATCTGGAATTCGAGAGCTGACGCTCACCCTCCAGCAGCCGAGGATGCCGGCCGTGTCGTTGCACATGCCGCCCGAGCAATAGTGCTTGAAAGACGGGCAGGCTTTAAGCGGGCAGGTCGGGTACTCCTGGTCGTTGTACCAGTCGATCACGTCCGCGGATGTACCCTGCCCGTTGCCGTTCTGGTTGTTGTTCCCAGCAGAAGAGAGGATAACGTTGCCGTTGGCGTCATATTCGTAGTTGGACTGAGACGATTGCTCCGCGCCAGCAGCGTTTCCAGCAAGAACGAAGGGTAGAGAAAGGGAGAGAAGTAGCACCGCGGCAAACACGGAGCTGGAGAAAATGGCAAGGTCAATTCTGCTAGGACCAATATTCACGAGCCTTCGTCAATTTCGCTATGCCTTTGGTCCTGATGTTGAACGAATTGACCTTGCCGTTTCCTTGGGTGACGGTTCTTGGAAAATTGAAATATGTCACTGAGGATGAGAAATGAACTGAGCTCCGCAGTGCTTTTAGGGCGTGTCCAGCGCGTACATTTACAGCTCATAAAGCCATACAGTTACCACATTTGGAGTTGTAACACTGTGATTTACAGAATGCGTGGACACGACCAAATTTTGTGTAGGAGACGGTACGCCAGCTGCACGTACCTCGCGTCGTGTGACGCACGTAACTGCACGCAGCATGCGCGCGTACTAGGGTACAAAACCGCGTCCAGCCCGCTACAGTAAGTATCCCCCTGTATGGCTGGCACGATTTCGCCAGTGCCGCGCGACACTCGCCGAAACCACCTGCGCTCTGGCCTACAACATTGCACGGCAGACCAAATTCCCAGCCCACCACCAAGTGAAAAATTACCAACCCAGCACAACACGCCGACACAAACAAAGTAAACTCGAATCCTACCCAGCGCATTCGACGGGCAAGCATGCGCAATGACGCTCATGTCTGCCGAAGCGCCCGTCACATACGGCGGGTCTCGCTCTTAATGGCCACGATCATACGGCGACTCGTTCTAAGTCGCGCGCTAACGTGCCCCAAGCAGAAATGCATCGACTTGTTTTTCTCCCTCAACAAATCACTACTTAAACGAGGCACCTCGTGTTGCAATACCCCAGTCTTACAAACTTGATCACACTAGTTGCTGAGTTTACAATCCGTCCTGAATCCACTATCTATCGCCAACTTTCAACATCCTTCGCTATGGAGCACAACAACAACCAGATCGGGACTGAAGAGTCCACTGCACCTGCCCTTCCAACCACTACCGCCCCCCCCTCCCTTGTTAGTGCCGCTGCTGGAAATCTGCAGGTAGCCCAGAGCGACCACAACGCAGGCGACCTCGACCTTTCACCTGATGGTGGGCCCGTTGTTGATGATTCTGGCGATGCAGGGGTCCCGCTCGTCCGCTCTCCAGCTGTTACTAATCCGAGGGACGATCCCACTAGCCCGCGTGTGCACTGGACGGCCACAGAGATGCTTCAGCTGGTGCAGGCCAGAGTCGACCTGGATCCTGACTGGGATCTCATGCGCGGAGTTCAAGGTGCCAACTACTGGGCTGCACTCCACACGCTGGTGCTTGAGCGCCATCCCCGTTTCCGCTTCAGCCGAGGGGCGATCAAAATCAAAATGTTGAGGATCGAGGCGCAGTACAAACAGCTCCGCGACAGGCTGTCTCGCTCTGGCGCCGGTGCAATCCGCTACTTCCCTTCCTGGTACGGACTGATGGAGACAATCCGTGGCAATCGCCCTGGAGTCCAGCCCGTCCACCGTGTGACTGCTGCGATGATAACCACTCCTACTCCCCTACCAGTTCCTACCCCAACAGCCGTGACGCACGTCGGTCCTATTCGTGCAAGGCCTGCTGTTCTAGCATCTACTACCACCACCATCCCAAGTGTGGATGCCACCATCCGTGCTGCAACGACTGGTGGATCGGGACGGAACACGCGCACTCCATCTACGGATGTGAACTCCCCGGTTACGCCAAGCGGGCCTGTTTCAAGCACGCCTACCCCACGCACTCCTACTACGGCGGTGGTGACTCCAGTAACCACAACTAATCAGCCCACCGCACCGCCGTCTGGCACTGGTTCGCCATCCACGCCATCACCTTCCGTTCCCACCGCGTCCCCCTCGACCTCCGCGGGTGGGACGGGGACGCCTCCTGCAGGGGGATCACCAACACAGAGCAATGGTCGGTCAACGGCAGGCTTGATTGGTGTTGGCCCGGAGGCTGCAATTGCCACGGTCATGGCGGAAAGCATCGCAAGCGCCATAAACAGTGCTGTGGACCGTGCATGCGACAGGTTTGAGAGCCTTACCCGGTCGTTGGTCGGGTCATGGCCGGGTGAGTCCGAGCCCAGGATGAATGGAGGCCATGGGCCAACCGATCACGACGGAGAGCTGGAGTAAACGCGGCCGTATCAGGCGTGGTGTGGACTGCTTCGGCTGCCGGACCTTCAAGCCACCAACGGTGTCCTTCGCGAGGGGCACCGGCACGAGGGCGGCTGCTCAGCGTGTTCTCCAGATTGTGTAACACCACGCATGCCCCCACGGTCCGGGGCACCTTGCGGATGTTGGCCTCCATGCGCCCGTCAAGAATCCACCATTTCCCTTTCAGCCTTCCGTTTGTTTGCTCGACGATCATTCGCTCACCACTCTGCTGCTTATTCCATGTTGTCTCTTCGTCTGTGAGTAGGTTTGTAGTCCTGTCTACTTTGTAGGGAGTGAATGTGTAGTCTCGTAGTCCGTAAGCTGCATCAGCAACAAGGCAATAGCCATGTAGCTCCCCTCCTTCAATGCGAGCACAAGCTTCACTATTGTTCCACACACGCGCATCATTCACACTCCCAGGCCAGCCCACATCGAAATCCCAGATGTCACCATGAGCATCGACGATAAGCTGAAGAATGACGCTATAAAACCCCTTACGGTTCTGAAAGTCGGCGCGGTGTTCCCCGAATCCGCGTACCTTGATGAATGTCCCATCCAGCGCACCTACAACGCCCGGAATTCCGCCAAGCCTCTGGAATTCACGGGCCATAGCAGGCATGTCATCCAAGTCAGGCCACTTGACCCAATCGGGACCTAACATTTTGAGAACAAAGTCCTCAAACTCGTCACATATGGTAACAGCGGCGCTCCTACTCACTCCAAAGTGCAAACCGCACATGCGATAACTCCATGCATGCGCAAGGCGTGACAGACCCAGGGCGACACGGAGCTCATGTGTGTAGTTCAACGTTGACTTCCGCGGACGAGCTATGAGCCACTCCTGAACGATGAAATTGAACACGTGTTTCTCGACACGAAACATGGCGATGTACAGGTCGTCTGAGAACTCGTTCAGCAGCGTCTGCCACCTTGCTCGCACACTAGCGCGATCACGAAGGATTCCTTCTTCCCGCATAGCAGCAGCAACAAAATTCACCAGAGCGGGCAGTAGAGATGCGAGCACATTGCCAATAGGGGCGATGACACATGCGACGAGGCCTTGGTGCGCTAAATTAACTATACGAATTGTTCTTGCTGCCATGATGGGCATCGCTGAGAGAGATAGTTGCCAAATCAGAACGCATCGTATTATAGATGCATGTCTGGCCGTTTGCTATTAATTGCGAAGTGAGTTTGGCTGACGGGAGCGCATGGGAGGGATGGAATGCCCTCCTAGGATTTGGGTTGGTTTGATGGGAGCGCATGGGAGGGATGCAATGCCCTCCTTGGAATTTGTGTTGATTTGACGGAGCGCATGGGAGGGCTGGAGTGCCCTCCAGGTGTTTTGTATGTTTGTCGTTTGCGCATGGGAGGGATTGTGTGCCCTCCCAATGTTGTGTGTGTTTCAATGCAGGTCGCATGGGCGGGCTGGAGTGCCCGCCAGGTTGTTTTGGTGTGCGGCTCGCTCGGTTGTGGAAAGTTCGACCGAGCGAAAATGCCAGCCCTGTCATTCACGAGGAAACCAGTTACCTAGGTTTCCAGCTGGTGCAGGCACTGTTGAAGAATGTGTGGGGGGAATTGTGTCCGCGCGCTAGACATTACAGGAGGAATGGACTCTGCTCACGGGGCATTCGTTTTTAGGTACAGTGATACGTTTTGAACCTCCATACGTGTATGGGCACGTAAAACCCCAAAATGTATGCGCTGGACACCCCCTTATGTTCGAATTTTAGCGAACTGATGAAGGTCACAGCCTGAAAATGGAAAAGTTTGGATTGGAGGAAACGAAGCGGTTGAGAATCGCGACTCCGACGTCGCGTCGCAGGACAGGCATTCAGGATGTAGGGCGAGCGAGCGTTTTGGAACATGAAAGCAAAGCAAGCAAAAACGTTAGGACAAGAAAATTAATACATTTTTTTGTAAGCATACAGAGCTAGTGTGTAAATAAGAAATGTAGAAGATTATTACATGTTTTCTGTACAATGTATCTCATAACAGACAGCAAGTGGAGAAAACAACTTCCAATTTCACCCAATGAAGCCAAAAATGTCAATGAAATCTGACAGCAATGTCAAAGCTGTGAGATGAGAAGAATGGGGGGCATCACGTCGCGCCAAGATGCACTATGGGAAGAAGCGACAACATTTGCGACCGCAAGTTGTATCTGTTGGGCTGAAAAATGCCCTTAGGATCTTTACAGGACAGAACTCAAGGGTAGGATGATGTAATGGCGGAAGCGTTTAATGAAAAAGATTGTGAACCACCTTGCGCTGGTATGTGAGGGCAAAGTAAGTTGATAATAACAAAAACATACAAGCTTTTTATATGATTACAAGGAATATGAAAAGGTTCTATTTTAACTGTTTTTGCTGTTGCGGTTCGATACAGTGCCGACTCGGGTAACTGTTCTGTAACGAATCAGTTATATGTCCTTGCTGTCGCACTGTACGTTTCGTCAGGTCAAAGGTCGGGGACCTTTGACCTTCACGTAACCTCCGACAGTTGATTCGCGTGATACTTCGCTGTAGTTAGTTCCGTTTGTGTCTTTATCTTCGATGCGACAGAGGCGCTATAAATAACTTGTTTCCAACACTCCCCTTCGCCTCTGGAGTGTCGCTGCATGTGACGTGGCTCTGTCCAGTCAGCAGCATGCAATATTCAAACTTCGACTTTCCGAGCTTCTTGGTCAAGTAATCTGCTGCCATCTCGGATGTGGGGCAGTAAGACAGCTCAAGTCTTCCCTTCTCGATCTCGTCCTTTACGAAGAAATATCGCAGGGCGATATGTTTCGTCCTGTTCGCGAATCCATTTTTGTTGGCAATGCGAATTGCCGATTGGTTGTCGCAAAATAAGGAGAAGCTGGGTAACTGGGCCAGCTTCGCTTCCTCCAGAAGTTCGCGAAGATACAATCCTTCCTTGGTGGCTGAGCAGAGTGCGATATATTCAGCTTTAGCTGAGGAGAGGGCGATTAATTCTTGTTTGCTCGACTGCCACGAAATAGGTCCGATAGGCTCGAGACGGTAGATGTAGCCTGTGCGCGAGCGCCTGTTGTCAGAATCTCCGGCGTGGTCAGCGTCGACGTAGCCGATTAGCTTGGGCATTGTAGTTACGTTTTTATAGTAGATCAGGCCGATCGTCGGAGTGCTTACGAGATAGTGTAGAGCGCGATCGAGCTCCTTCATGTGTTCGTCTTCAGGCCTTTTGAGGTAGGTGGCGAGTTGGCTTGCTGAGTATGATAGGTCTGGACGACAGGTGACGGCCGCGAAGAGAAGGCATCCCAGCTTTCTCTGGTAGTTGCGTATGCCGGCGGGTTTCAGTAGAGCGGATTCTGTCTTGTCATTTCCTGCCGTGTAGCGGTATGGCGTGGAGATTGTAGTTGGCGTGAGTGCGAACCGTTTGGCGATGGTGTCGGCATACTTTGCGGCGTTGAGATAGATCGTGTCTTCTCCTTCTTGGATGTTGAGGCCGAGGTACTGCGTGACGGTAGATGAAACCGTGAGCGTAAGATCTCTCTGTAACTCCCCTTCGAACCAGGTAGTGACACTGTCGGTTGACCCGATGTAAAGTAGATCGTCTACGTAGACGATTAGTAGAATGTAGTCGTTGCCTTTCGTAAGCCGGTACATTCCTTGGTCGTGCGGTAGCTGCCGGAATCCGATGCGAGTGAGTCGAGCGTGTAAGTACTGCTGCCACAGTCTCGGGGCCTGTTTGATCCCGTACAAGGACTTCAGTAGCTGGCAGACTTGGTTAGGTTCCCCATGGGAACCGTGTGGAAGTTCGACGAAGATTTCTGCGTCGACAGGTGCGTAGAGAAAAGCATTGGCAACGTCGATTTGCCGCAGCTTCTTTTTCTTCATAGCGGCGACCGCGAGAAGAATCCGTAGTGAAGTGTGTCTGCTGACCGGAGCGAATGTCTCGGTGAAGTCACGTCCATGTTCTTGATCGAAGCCGCGTACGACCCAGCGTGCCTTGAACTTGTCGATGGTGCCATCTGCTTTCGTCTTCACACGGAAGACCCACTTCCCGGTGAGTATTGTCTTGTTTCGTGCTACGCCGATAGGAACAACTTTCCAGGTGTTGCACTCCTGTAGTGCTTTCAGTTCTTTGTCCATGGCTTCACGCCATTTTTCCTTATGCTCCCCCCCCAGAGCCTGCTGAACTGTGGCAGGCTCCGTAGGAGTATCGGTGCCGTGGACTGCGGTGACGAGACCAAGTATCTGAAGGCCACTCTGTGTGTAGCGGGGGAGTGTTGTGTCCGCGGGATAAGCTGCTTCGTCGCCTGCTTCTGGGTCAGGTATGAAATTGGGCCCTATGCGTTCTGCTTCGTTGGTGTTGACTTCTGCAGGTGTAATGTAACCAGTGTCGGCGAGGTCGAAATAGGTTTCGGCGTTGACGCTTTCGCGAGGATTTTCGTCATCCATCGGGATAGGCACGGAGCAGTAAGGGAGTGGTCCTGCTTCTTCCGAGGCGTTATCCACGTTCTGCTCGTCCCAGTCAGCTTCGTCTGCTGCCGAGGCGAAGTGTCGGTCACCATGGAAGCCACCTGTGGGATCCCGATTTTCTTCCAGGTTGGCAAGATATGTCGGAAGGGTGAGTCGTTCGTAGAAAATGACGTCACGTGCTGCTACTGTTTCTTTGGAGTGGACGTCGAAAATCTTCCACGCGTTGTAATTTATTTCGATGCCCAGGTGTAGTCCCCACTGTGCGCGTTGAGAAAATCGGCCGGCTCGTGCAGATGGGGGTCGGTACTGTACCATGCAGCCGAAAACTCTTAACATTTTTGTGCTGCCCTGTTTTCCTGTCCACAGCAGGTGCGGTG